GACCCAAATACCATGCACTTTCACTGGCCTAAAGCGCCCTCACACTCCATGTCCAAAAGCAACTCCGTCTGCCTTGCTGCAGCCTGTCATGTCTTCTCTGTCTCAGAGTGGCACCCAGACCCACACAGGGGTATCAGTGCCCACTTGGCCTTCCTCTCCTTTACCCCCTGAATGTTTCCTGACTGTGTCTCCTTCTCTTTATCCGAGACTGCTGATAATTACCCACGAATCTTAGATTTATAGCATGGCTATTTTCTGTTCAAGAAGAGGGTGGTTATTATGTTTACTTCATTATTTCTAACACGTAAGTTGTCATTCAGCCTGTCACTCTGCTGCTATGAAAAGTACAGGCTCTCAGTGTCACAGCCTGGTCCTTCTGTCTTGTACCTATTATATATCTGGAGAGGGGAGTCTGAATACTTTCACCATCATGATTTAGGTAACAGTTTTATGTGACCCCTCCCATGTTCTTTTTTACGTGCTCACTTTACTTTTTCATTGTTTGTTAAATTGTCTTTTTCCAAAGATAATTCCTGGGCATCCCAAGTCCTGGTTGTTGGGACATCTCTTTACTCTGTGGTACTATACATTTGGTGTCCTTGGTATTCTGATCACAGGATCCCGAATCTTTGCCTTCGAACGTGTTTGTTCTCCTCCTGGGTACTGGTTCCTAGAGGACTTGAAGATGTTAGGAGGTTGCAGATTGGTCAGGGAGGAGAGAATTCTTACACTTCATATATTTCTGTGTTATTTCATTTTGTTTTTTACAACTAGCATCTGCATAAGATTGAAAAGGAATGTAAAGAAGTTGAATTAAGATAGAAGTAGGTGGGGGCGCCTGGGTGGCTCAGATGGTTAAGTGTCTGCCTTCGGCTCAGGTCGTGATCCCAGGGTCCTGGGATCGAGTCCCGCATCGGGCTCTCTGCTCCTTGGGAGCCTGCTTCTCCCTCTGCCTCTCTCTCTCTCTGTCTCATGAATAAATAAATAAAATCTTAAAAAAAAAAAAAAAAAAAGATAGAAGTAGGTGGATTTAAGTGTCCTTTTGTAATAACAAAACTTTAAAAAGAACATGTCCCTATAATCCTAATAGGGACTTCCCTAAAATTTCATGCCTTCTCTTCAGTAAGTTACTTCTATCCAAATTTAACTATCTTCAGCTATGAGGTTCATAGTTGATACAAATATATGAAATCTCTGGCATGTTGTTGTAGGGTTTTTGTTTTTGGGGGGTTTTTTTCCTCTGTCTCCCCCAAAATGTCTGGCATTTTTATCACTTATATGCAGATTGTCAACTTTTAAAAATTGTGCCAGTGCCCATCTGTTGCTCTGGAATTTTCTGTACCAGCAGCTTATAATCTATCAATGAATTTACTTGTAAATTTCAAAGGCAGCTGCATGGCATCATGAGATGAGTGTGGACCTTGGAGTCAGTAAACCTAGAGTAGAGTCCTGGCTCCAGCACCTACTAGCTGGGAGTCCTTGGACATGTTTCTCAACTTGCTCAGTTCTCCTTCCTATGCATTGGAGGTGATCACAGTCACCAGACAGAGTTGTGAACATTAAGTTAGATCATGGATGGAAGCATCTAGCTTTGTGCTTTAGGCACAGTGGACACCTAACACCTCATAGCTGTTGGCTTCTTGCTTCCTCTCCACCTCCTTGATTAACTTGCTATAGATTTATTAACTACTTTCTGCCTGAAACACAGTTCTGATAGAGGTAAATATGTAAAGTTATTTGGTAATATCCTGACACTATCCTACTAGGGAATCTGAGGCTATTCTTTCTGCCTCCAGAATTAAGCTTGTACGACCCATCCCTCTGTCTGGTGCCATTTACCTTTCCTCTGTGTTTTCACAACACATGCTTTGGCATGACCTCCGCTGTAACTCATGGGTTGTCTGTAGTGTATCAGTTATCAGCTGCTCTCTAACAAATTACTCCAGAACTGAGCAACTGAAACAAAGCCATTTGTTACCTCATCATTCCTGCAAGTCATGTGTTTGGGAGTGACTTATTTGTAAGTTCTGGCACAGGTGCTCTCAAGAAGTTTTGGGTAAGAGCCACAACTCCGGCATCTGAAGGCTTGATGAGGCTGGTGGGTCTGCTTCCCTCTCACCTGGCTCTCTTGAGGGGCTGCAGTTCCTCACCAGCTGTGCGCATGAGGCCTCAGTACTTTGCCATCTGGGGGTCTGTCCCTCGAGGTGTTTAATGTCCCCACGACACACAAGCGAGTAATCTCTGAGAGCATGGAGGGAGCCATAGGACCTAGGCATTCTCTGCAAGTCCCCCACCATCGCCTCTGCCTTACTCTTTTTGTTAGAAGCAAATCACTAAGTGCAGCCCACACTCAAAAGAGAGGAATATGAAGTTCTGTCTTTTGCAGGGAGGATTGTCAAAGAATTTGTGGACATGTTTTAAAACCACCATACCTAGGGTGCTTGCTGAAAGTAATATTCTTAATCCCACTTCAGATCTAGCAAGAGATAGGGCCCAGGGACCTGGAGTTTGCGCAAACACCCTTATGATTCTGATGCAGGTGACCTGAAATCCACACCTGGAAATGCATTGTTCTGCCAGAGGTATCACTTGGTCTTCCTTAAATAAATAGTCTTAATTGGCCACACCATATCTTTGCTTACATATATAAAGCACACATAGCTCATTTTTTACTGTGGACATCTTTTTGAGTCCTGCATGAGTCTGGTCACCTCCATGGTATCTGCTACCCCAGACTAAAGTGAGCTCTGCCTTTCTTGAATTCCTGTAATACCGCATCTTTTCATGCCATGTGGCTCTGATTACTTTGTTTCCTTGCTGCACTGCCAGTAGGTATTTAAAAATGACTGCCTTCATTTGACCTGCTCTCCTGCCGGCAGAACGGTGACAGCTCTGCACCAAGCATCCTGCTACTCAGGATTTAAAAGCAGGGTGGTCATTAGAATGCTAAGGAGGCTGGCTCAAACCACACTTCTTGGTAGTTAGTACTTTCATAGAGGCATTTACCAAACAAACGAGTTCCTGTTGTGTGCCAGGCTTGGTTTCAAGTATACAGTAGTGAAAGGAGACCAATGTACCTCCCCCCACCCCACACGGATGACAAGGCAACAATGAACAGGTACACAAAAATGTATCTTTATACTTGAAAGACATTCTAGAGAAGAAGCAAACAGACCACTATGATGTAAAATAAAGGAGATCTTCTTAGATAAGGTTTTCAGAGAATCTGCTTGAGACTACAAGGACAGAAAGGAGAAAAGACTAAGGAAAGAAAGAAGTTCGAATGTTCTGATACCTGAGAGGAATCAGGGTGGCTGGAGGAGTGTCACGTTGCAGGGAGAAGTAGAGGCCACCATGGCCATGGTCTGGGTTTTATACTAAATGCAGGGTCCTAACGTGTTGGTATTGTATCCAACTTGGAGCTCTCCTACTTTAGCAGTTGTGGAAATAACTAGGACGTTCAGATTATAAGCTACAAATTCCACTATAATGAATTGGAAAACAGGGTTTCTGTGTTGGCTTGACAGGAGGAAACTAAGATAAAGAACTCAAGCCTGAGCGGTGGTCAGGGTAGCTGTCTTCTCATCTCAGAACATAAATTGTGAGAATGACCACAAAAGCAACAGGAGATATTTGTGTTGGAGATAAAAGTGCTCCAGCCTTTAGAGAAGATCCAGTATTCAGGAAAGGAATCTTACTCATCTGACTCCATGTTTTTAAGCTCTCAGATCAGTTTAGAGGTCAGATACGTCCATGTCCATCTCCATGCTCTTAGTTGTTAGGTGCTGATTCAATTCTAGATTAGATGTGGTAGATGGGACAAGTGCAGTAAGACCCCTGTGATTTCTCCCCAGATTCCTTTCCACATAGCCAGCTGTTCCTCCTCTTCCCAAGTTCTTCCCAGCCCGTGCCTCCCATAGGTTATAGATACTGGGTGTTGGGAGACCTTGGTTCTGGCCCAATTCCCCGCAGAAAGAGAACAGGACCTTGGGAGATCTTTTCCTCTCCTTTCCTGGTTTCCACTTGTTTGCAAGAGGTTTGGATAAGATGGCCTCTAAAATTCTGTTATTTTCTGAGATCTTCTGATATTAGCGTAGGCCATAACACCATGACTCTCTTGTGCATTCACAGCACATGTTTATACAACAACAGTTTAATATTTCTCTTTATTCTGTGTGATGGCTGGGCAGCTCTACCAGTCTTACCTGGATGGTTTTTCTCATGGCATCCTCTGGGTTCATTTGTGTGGCAGCATTCAGCTGACAGGTTGATGGGGCTGTACTCAGGTGGGACAGTGGGTCTTTCCCTACATATACTCTTTCATCCTCAAAGAGGCTAGATTGACCTCTTCATATGATGGCAACATCATTCCAAGACAGCAAGCACCGGATACGTAAGCATTTATCCACCCTCTTCTTGCTGGATGGATGATATCAAATTTGATAATGTTTCATTGGCCAGAGCAAGTCACACAGCCCATACAAAAATGTGAACATGCGAGGCAGGACTCATTAGGACCATTAATTTAACAGTCTGCCACAACCGCCATGCTAAATTACCTGTCTTCTCCAACAAGGATTTCCCAAAGTGGTTTTGAAAAAATCTTCTCCTAGAATTACTTGGAATTATCAGTCCTAATACACTCATGATGTAGTTCATTAGGACTGTACACGGTTGGATTTGCAATATCTACCCCTGGGTAGGTATTGAATCAGACTGAGTTTAATCACAAACTATTCTTGCCTAAATCTGATCTTATATGTTCAAGATAGCAAAATATAATTAAGATTGTGGTATCATCCTCCTCTGCAACTTCTGCTTTTCCAGGAGCTAAAACTGAAGCATTTATAGCTTCTCTGGATTTTCATGCTAGTGTTAGATGCAGACTGTTGAACATTACCAGTGGGTCAGTTATCTAAGAGAAGATTTAAATTTGTATCGCAACAGTGGAATAGAATGTTTAATAACCTGTGTTGGGGAATTATGTGTTTGTTTTTTAGCTCTTCAGAGAAGTAAGAATAATGAAGATTTTAAATCATCCAAACATAGGTATTTTCTGCTTTCTTAAATACTTTTGGGTCTAAATGCATTCCATTTGGGGTCTAAACCTGTATGCCAAGAGTGATAGGAGATTCCTTCCCTCCTCCCAGCCCAGGTACACTTTTCATAAAATATATATTTATACAAATTGTTGATTATTTGTATTAACTTTTTGAAATTACTAAAGACAAGTTAAAAGCTTAGGTATTAAACTCTTGAATTTAAAGCTTTAATGCAGTAGAAACTCTAATCAGATCATAACTTTCCAATTTTTAATGCATATTAGAAAATAATTTTATTTAACTCATATATGGAAAAGGGAATTATAGTAAGTCAGAGTTAAGATTTTCAGAGGTGGGCGCCTGGGTGGCTCAGTCGTTAAGCGTCTGCCTTCGGCTCAGGTCATGATCCCAGATCCCACATCGGGCTCTCTGCTCTGCGGGAAGCCTGCTTCTCCCTCTCCCACTCTCCCTGCTTGTGTTCCTGCTCTCGCTCTGTCTCGCTCTGTCAAATAAATAAACAAAATCTTAAAAAAAAAAAAAAAAAAGATTTTCAAAGGTATAACAGGTTTTGCTATGGCAGTGTTCTTAAGAAATTACTTGTCCATTGAATTGTATTTTAAAAGGTATAGGATACCTGCTATCTAATGGAATTTTTTAAGGAATTGTTTTGTATAGCACAGGTATGTTTCATGTGCCCTCTGTGTGCATAGCTCAGTGCTAGGTTCAGTGAGTTGGGTTTAAAGGAGGGGTATAGGGCGCTTGGCTGGCTCAGTCAGTAGAGCATGTGACTATTGATCATCAGGGTCATAAGTTCAAGCCCCATGTTGGGTGTTGAGCCTACTTAAAAATAAGTAAATAAGTAAGGATGAGGAAGGGTCATGGTCCTGCTCTCATCATAATTATAGGAACAAGGTGAAAGTATGCAAATTACTTAGTATTTTGTATATACATCTCAATGAAAATGTAGAGCTCTTTTTGAATAATATAACTTTTTTATTGTTATTATTTCAAGAATGAAATAGCTGTTAAGACAGCCACTTTTACCACTTTAATATCAAAATAAGTTCTAGGAAGTGGGAGGGACGAAGTTTGATGTTAACGGATTTCCTATGAAGAATTTTTTTTTTTTTTTAAGATTTTATTTATTTATTTGACAGAGCAAGAGAGCACAAGCAGGGGGAGCAGTAGAGGGAGAGGGAGAGGGAGGCTCCCCGCTGAGCAGGGAGCCTCATGCGGGGCTTGATTCCAGAACCCTGGGATCATGACCTGAGCCGAAGGCAGATGCTTAACCATCTGAGCCCCCTATCAAGAATTCTTAAGGCACAAGAATAGAAGATAAAATGGAGCCACTGGAAGGAAAAGCTTATATATACCCTATTTCATCAGATCTAAGCCACATCATTTAAAAGGCGTTTTTGGTTTTACATGCTGCTAAGGAAAAAAATTCTACCAAGCGGTCATCTTATTCTTAGTGATATTAGTTAAAATGTGAAAAAATTTAATCTTAGAATCAGTGAAATACAGTGTTTGGAGAAAAATAACAAGGAATATAATAACAGGAAGAAAACCTTTCTTCACTTTTCATTTCAGCCCTTTGGGGTTAGCTAGCTAATTCTTGGCTTCAGATTCCAGCTTTTCACCAAATAACCAATCACTGCAGCTTAGAACTAGCTAACTTAAACATAGTTATTTTGTTCTTTAGTTATTAAGTTGTGCCCTGATTAGAGTTTTCTCTGCTTACTCCCAAATAACATATCTTTGATAATAGATATGAATTTCTAAAAATTTAAATTTGTATTGGATTCAGATAGTTTTTCCAGAAGAGCCAATATTTGCATTGGAATTTTAGAAAGGTTTTATTTGTGTGTTGATGGTTTACCAGCACATATGCCTTAAATTTCTTTAAATTATTTTTCCTGACAACCTGAACATACCATTTTAGAAATGACATAGTTTTATTCATCAGTGCAACAAACATGTATTACATACTGTGTTAGGCACTTTATTTGGTCTGATACTCTATATTAAAGTGTCACAAAATAGCCTGCAATATAAGAGACTAGCACCCTGTCCCCTGTTTTTTGGTAAATTTAACTTTAGAGTATGTATTACCAAAATAAAGTAGATGTGGAAAATAGTGAGTCAGTAGCTTTAGAAATGTACTTCAGTTTCATTTTAAAATGTGTATATTTCTTTTTTTTTTTTTAAGATTTTATTTATTTATTTATTTATTTGACAGAGAGAGAGAGAGAGAGACAGCAAGAGAGGGAACACAGACAGGGGGAGTGGGAGAGGGAGAAGCAGGCTTCCCGTGGAGCAGGGAGCCCGATGTGGGGCTCGATCCCAGGACCCCGGGACCATGACCTGAGCCGAAGGCAGATGCTTAACAACTGAGCCACCCAGGCGCCCCTAAAATGTGTATATTTCTGATTGGTTTGATATGGTTTTGTGAATTAAAAGTAATAGAAATATGATTTCAATCTGTAACAAGGGACTGCTGTATAGCAAAGTCACAATGACCCATTGCAAATAATTCTTTAAAAAGTTCTTTTCAATTAACTATAGCATAATCCCTTCTACTACTTTCCATCTCTGGCTTCAGAATAGTAACAAAAGAAGCTTTTTCTCTGAGAAGGAGTGAACAGAAGTTTCCCAAGCAACAGAAGTCTCAAGTGAAATTGTTCTATATATCCTTAAAGCCATAATGACAAGTGAACGCACTTAAACTTGGAGAAGTAGAGTAGATCTGAGCAGTTCCTGCAGGTCGAGAATGTGAAGTAAGAACCCTTTTCCTGAGGGAAAAGCACAATCTGCTGGGAGGGCAGCTAACCAGTGTAGACACCATACAGGATAAGGACAGAGGAGATGTGAGTAGGTACACAGCCTGGACTGCTGAGTGCATGCCAGAGTTACATTGTTTGAGCACCCAGAAATATCTTTATTTTTATGGAATTCCATGCTTTTATAAAATGTGTTGTTGTAATATATGATAAAATTCCCAAAAAACATTCTTCTATTAAGGCAGCCAGTTACAAAAATCTTTAACAGGGAAAAAGTTTTTTAGTACTTACAGTTTATATGTACAGTGTATATACATACAGACGTTTGTTTCTTTTTCTCCCATATCCTTTCCCCTCCCCCAGTGAAGTTGTTCGAAGTCATTGAAACTGACAAAACGCTCTACCTAATCATGGAGTATGCAAGTGGAGGTAAGAAACTTCTATGGTTTTTCTTTCTTTCTTCCCTTTTTAGAAGAATACACAACCACACTGCCCACATGGATCATTGTTAAGGTTTCATTTAACATCCAGGGTCGTAATACAGTAGCATGAGGTAATACAGTAGCATGAGAATCAGAAAAGCTGTCTTGGCTCTTTTGTGGCTCTTCTTGTAGTTCACTATTAGCATTATTAATGATATCCAAAACTTGGATTTTTTTTTTATTGTGGTAAAATGTACATAACATAAAATTTAGCATTTTGACCATTCTAAGTGTACAGTTCTGTGACATTAAGTACATTCACATTGTTATATAGCCATGACCACCATCCATCCCCAGAACTTTTTCATTTTCCCAAACTGAAACTCTGTCCCCATTAAACACTAACTTCCCTCTCCTCCTCCCTAGCCCCTGGTGCCCATCGGTCTACTTCCTGTCTCTGTGGATGTGACTGCTCTAGGTAGTCATATGAGTGGTATCTCACAGCACTTGTCCTTTTATGCCTACTTCACTCAGCATAATGTCTTCAAGGTTCATCCCTGTCAGAGTTTTCCTTCCTCTTTAAGGCTGAATAATATACCATTATGTATATATATGCACACCACATTTTGTTTAAGAACTTGGATTTTTAAATATATCAGTGCATTAGCTTGTTTGAAATAAAGGTGTACTGCCTATTGGATGGTTTTCTTTGTGTCATTGATGTTCATCTTTCCCAAGGCCAGAAATGGTGCTTGCAATGCATATATTTAGATTTTCCTTAAAGATTAAGGACTTGGCCTACAAGACTATATACATGTAGTCATTTTTCTGAAATGCATGTATATAACTGTTCTCTTTTACAGAGATACTCCTCTGGGGGTTGAAGTTGGGTTAGGCTTGTAGTTTTTGGACCACATGTAAGTCTCCTTGTGTGTGGAGAGCAGAAGCGTTCTGACTGGTCTTTGTGTGCCCCCTACCTCTACACCTCTAGATAGTGCCTGGCACGTGGCCAATGCTTAACAAGTAAGGATTGAAGTGCGCTTATGAAAGGACAGACTACTAGGGACATACTCCTTTAACTAGGGGCATAAGTATAGCTTCGACTGTTTTGCTCATAGTAGTTTGATTTTATCTTAGCACTTTGATCAGACAGAAGATTCAGTCACAGCCTCGTTGTAATGAATTAACTATTAAATAAAAGATTGTAAACCTGCTGTGGGCAGGAATGAGTTACAATAGGAAAACCTTTGATGCTGCTTTTTCGTACTCCTAATTCATATTAGTTGTGTGATTTAGAGTTTAAATGTGTGGTTTGAGAATTTAGGTTGGGATTTTTCACAATTGAAGAGAAGTAGGAAGAGCTGAAACTGAATTGCAGTACCAAAAATCTATATGGAGTTCTAATACTTTCTCCTCGTGTTACGGAGTTATGTTCATAACCTTTTCATTTGTGTAGCTTTCTCTCACCGCATCTCCTTTGACCCTCACAAGGACTCCGTGATGTGGCCAGGCAGTGAAGGATGGGCTTTTACCCTTGAGGAAACGGAGGCTGGGAAGTCATTGTGGTCACGCTGCCAGGCCCACAGCCCTAGCCTTCTGACAGTAGATAGGCTCTCCTAATTGGTCAGTTGGTCACGACTTTCCTTTTCCATCTATTTTAGGTGTTAGTGTCATAGAGATTGCTCTTATATAGGGGCAAAACTAATCTGAGAAGCATCCACTTTTAGTAGAAAGAGGGTGGGCTTTTGAAAACACAGACATGGGGTCAGTCTAGCCAGGGCCTCTCATTGACAGTGTGACCTGGTAAGTCAACATGTCTCTGAGCTTCTTAGTGGTGGTGCTTTTTTGGCTTGGGCTGTTTTAATCAGCTCAACAAAGCACTATCAATCTCCAGGACATCTGGGTTTTTTTGTGGTTACATTTGTCATTTGGAACAACCAGAGTCTCATTAAATTGACTACCTATTCCTCCCTAGCCTGGTATTTTTCGATTTCGTAGAATCATAGAATTTTACACTTGGAATCTTAGAAGTCATCGAAGGCAACTGCCTAATTTTTATAGATGAAACTAAAGCTCTGAAAGGTTGTTCTGTGCCAGCAGTTCTGTTGCTTGTTTAGTGGCAGGACCCCAACTAGGACCAAGGGCTCTCTGAACTGACCTGTCCAGTGTCCTCTCAACCACATGGTCGCTGACCTGGGTGGGGAGAGCCACTCTTTTCTGTCTTTTTCCTAATAAATAGCCTTTTGAGGTTTTCAGTTTAGCTACTTAATCTGAATGCTAATACATTTTTAATAAGGAAAATAAAGTGATCTGGGTTGAATTCCTGATTTATAACTTAGTGATTGTGAGTATGACTTTATGGTTCCAAAATCTCTTAAGAGGTTTATATTGCTTTTGAATTTATAAAAATTTTTTTAAATTATATTGACAGACTTAGACTTTTCTCCATGTTACTCTACAACAGCTAGTGGGTATAGCAACTAGTGGGTTTAATCCATTCGTTTTTTTAAGTCAAAACTGTTTTTCATATGATATGCACACATCTTTAGTTGTTTTCACTTTTTAACCACTTGTTTTGACATTGTATACTACTCTGCAAATAGAAAGGTCATTTGCTTAGAAAATGCTGACATTTTACTGAGCTGACATTTAACTTCATGATTCATCATAGTTAAACGAGTTGTGTAGTGTGAATTAACAATATGTAATGCGTTTTAAAAGATCATTATGCAATCAAGTGATAACTTGAAAATATTTATGCCCGTCCATTATTTAAAAATGTTTCAGCTAGGCTAAAAACTTTAAGTTAGAGATATTAATATGTAATTCAGAATAACTTTTTCTTCAAAAGTATTTGTTATGTTCTGAAACTAAGCCTTTTTTAAGTATCAAAATCTTTTAGTTGAATGTTGCCACTAAGCTGATGGAAATATTCTTTATTTGTATGAAGTAGATGTGACTCTTTCCCAAACATATTTTATGTCTAATTTGCTCAATTAGTACCCTTTTCTGTTGATTTCAGAGGTATTGTTTCTTTATACCCAGTTGATAAGCAAGTATTTCCTGAAGTGTCACCTCTTCCCTGAGGAATTAACACTGTGTAAACTACCAAGTGGATGTCCACCAGCATGTTCTGTTGGGCATGTTCTCTTGGCTTGACCTTCCCACTGAGTCCCGAACCTCCCCGCTTCTTACCACCACTGCCACTTCCCGCTCAAGGCCCAGCCTCCCTCATTCTTGCCCTGATTATTGCGCTACTCCCTCATGTTTCTGTCCCTTCCGCAACCCTGACCTCCTCCCCCTCTGGCAGCCAGAGTGACCCTTTTAAGAGGTCAGTCATTTCATAGCCTCCTCTGCTTCTCCTCACTCAGAGCAAAGCCTGCGGGACTCTTCATGGCCTTACCCCTCCTTCCCATCTCCCATGCCCGTCCACTAATTTCCCTTTTCCTTGTTCACACTTCTTTGGCTACATAGCCTCCTTGCTCTTTGCTGTTTGCTCTGCCTAGACTCTTTTTCCCAGATAATGACAGTGTCCTCTCCCTCACAGTAGTCCCCAAAGCACTTGCACATGCAGACACACTTCCTGTTTCTTCCCCTGTGTCTGCTCCACTGTCCTTGTCAGCTGACATACTATTTGCTTTTTTGTTGATTGCCTGTCTCTCCCTACCAGAATGTAAATTCTCCATGAGGAAAAGGACTTCACTTGGTTCACTGCTGTATTTCCCCAGAGCCTAGAACAGTGCCTGGCAGTTAGTAGGCACTCAATAATATTTGTTGAATTAATTAATTAATATATTCAGGAACTGCTTTTTTCGTAATCCTATAGTGAAGATGTTATCCTCTTTTAACACATATCACTTTCCCATTTTAACTTTCAGTTTTTATTAAAGCACATTGAAAACATAACCCTTAAAATCAAAGTTTTATAAACATAGGAAATTTTAATGATTTTTCTCTAGCTTAAAGATTTTATCAAAGAACTTTTGCCTATAGTTAAACTTAAGGCTAGCTTAGTTCAAAATCTACGTTTCTGTTATCTTCATGGCTGTATTTAAAAATAAAAATTAGAGCATTCCTAAAAGTGAAACATCATCAATTTGTGGGAAAATTAATGCTCAGAAGTAGGACTTCTTACTTTTATTTCTCTCGATTATAGGTGAAGTGTTTGACTATTTGGTCGCACATGGAAGAATGAAGGAAAAAGAAGCAAGAGCTAAATTTAGACAGGTATGAATTAATGCACCTTTATTAATTTAATAAAGTTATCTTGCTTATTAAACCCTGAAGCAAACAGTGTTTGCCTCTCTAAATGGTTATAAGGCCCATTGGAGGGAGCAGGGAGGGAGGGGTTAGCCATTCAGTTCAACAAAAATTTATTAAGTATCTTTCATGCCTAAGGCACTGTGCAAGAAGCAACATGGTTCTATTTCTAGCTTTATCAAGATTTTCACCTCATTCTTAACCTTAGTTTTTGACAGTTTAGCCTCAAAAATCTAGAGTCTTTCAAAACACCTATGATTGCATTAATTAAAACCATTTCCCAGTTTTTAGCAAGAAGAGTGTCACAATCTCAGAATTCATTATTAGTTTTGTCTTACATAAGCCAGATGTAGGCTTAAATTTAACTTAAAAACTTAAATACTAATGGTACTTTGAATTAAAACCTATTAAATGACAAATTTTGAGACTAATCTTTGGCTATTATTTAATTTCTCATATCCTCAACTTTTCTACCTACAAAAATTGGAAGTTATATTTGATGATTAATTTTGAAGTGCTTTCCAGTTCTGATATTTTATTCTGTGATCTACGGAGGGAAGCTCAAATTTCTCTTTATGACAAAACAAAGTTGGTTTGGCCCCTTTCCATAACTATACTCTGCATTTTTATAAATTGACCACTTAAAAGCCAAGAGGTTTTTTTTTGCCTCACAAACCTTAAATTCCTTCCCACTAAGTTGAATCTGTCTGACTCGCAAACATTTATGTGAATATGGTTTGTTGACTGTGAAGAATAGACGAGTGAGTGCCGCCAGCAACAGCAGGTTTGAGCCTGACCCTCTCCAGGGAAGCAACTAGTGCTTAACCCTGTGACTGCTCCTCACTTTTTCCGTCTCCACACATCCCCCTGTCAGGGTCTCACTTGTCAGAGGGACTCGGACATTTACTAACCTACATGTTGAGGCAATCGCTCAGGCTTTTATTTTAAATTTCCTGCAGAGGGGCGCCTCGGTGGCTCAGTCGGTTAAGCATTTGCCTTCAGCTCAGGTCATGATCCCGGGGTCCTGGGACAGAGCCGCAAGTTAGGCTCCCCCTCCTCAGCAGGAAGTCTGTTTCTCCTCGCTCTGCCTCTCCACCTCACTTGTGCTAGCTCCTTCTCTTTCTCTCTCTCTCAAATAAATAAATAACCTTTAAAGAAAAAATAAATAAATTTCCTGCAGAAAATCTCAAGTCTTTATCTGAGGAACCCATTAGTTGGTCAAGGAAAGATAATTTATGTGCTTTTATAACTAATGACTTAATTTACACTCTTACAATTTAATGTAATCCTTTCTTCTTGCCATAGTATTTCCTTAAGATCCCTCATTTAAACCTGGAAGGATCAATCAGGATATTGGTGTTTACACTTTGCTCTGTTGCTAATTGCCAGGCTTTCCAAAAGTTTATAAGCCATTCTTACATTGACTAAATAAGAAGTTTCCTTCTTTGTGGCAAAGAGGAAGGTATGCCATACACAAGGTACACTCCACATGAAAATGTTAACTGTCAGAAACAGGCCCTTCTTTCCACATCCATCAGCAGATGGTTTCTCCTTCCCACCTCCTTGGCCATTCTCATCCTAAGGACCGCTTGTGTGGTTTTAAGCGTTTGAATGAGCTCTATTCTTTTCAAAGAGAGAGAATAGAATCCTGGCTCCATCATCTTTCCTCACCTCTTTCTTGGTGGGTTGGTAATGTTGCTGCCTCTGCTCTTTCCTGTCTGACTGGAGGTAAATTAGGTTTGCGTTCATATTTCAATCTGGGAAACATCCAGATTCTTAACTTTTTTAAAGAAATAACTGCTTCTAGCTTAAAGGCATGCAAAAAAACCCAGTGATTTATTTATTTATTTATTTATTTATTTTTAAAGATTTTTTTTATTATTATTTGACAGAGACAGCAAGAAAGGGAACACAAGCAGAGGGAGTGGGAGAGGGAGAAGCAGGCTTCCCACTGAGCAGGGAGCCCGATGCGGGGCTTGATCCCAGGACTCTGGGATCATGACCTGAGCCGAAGGCAGACACCCAATGACTAAGCCACCCAGGCGCCCCAAAAACCCAGTGATTTAAAGTTGAATGTTTTCAGGTTATTGTGGCTTTAAAAGGTTAACTGAGTTGTTTGGAGGTAAAAGGAGAACTTCTTTGATCTCTCTGAGAAAGGGTAGGAAATTGTCAAATGTTACTCAGAGGCAGAATTTGAAAATAACCTGTAGGAGAAATCTCAGTATTGGGGGGGGCGGTGAAAAGAGGGACAGTCGGATCAGGCAGAAGTAAGGTCAGTGGTACCCACATCTTAGGCAGTGTACCTGTTTGTTTTGGGAAAACAAAGTTACTGACTTCCCAGCTTTCATGCAGAGTAGCACAGCATAAATGATCATCCAAGGTAACAGGTGTTCTAAACCATATTTTGGCATTGGAATTTTTATATTTTTTGTTGATTATAAGTGGATCTGGGGGCACCTGGGTGGCTCAGTCGTTAAGCATCTGCCCTCGGGGGCGCCTGGGTGGCTCAGTCGTTAAGCGACTGCCTTCGGCTCAGGTCATGATCCTGGAGTCCCGGGATCGAGTCCCGCATCGGGCTCCCTGCTCGGCGGGGAGTCTGCTTCTCCCTCTCCCACTCCCCGTTTGTGTTCCCTCTCTCGCTGTGTCTTTCTCTGTCAAATAAATAAATAAAATCTTTAAAAAAAAAAAAAGCATCTGCCCTCGGCTCAGGTCATGATGGATCGAGCCCCACATCGGGCTCCCTGCTTGGCGGGAAGCCTGCTTCTCCCTCTCCCTCTCCCACTCCCCCTGCTTATGTTCCCTCTCAATGTCTCTCTGTCAAATAAATAAATAAAATCTTAAAAAAAAAAAAAAAGTGGGTCTGATCTTGTGAATATTCACTTTATAAAGTATGTAGCTGCTTAGTGAAGCCCTGATTTTGGCATCACCCCACCCTAACCCCAGTCCAGCTTCTCCTTGCTCCTTGTTCTGAACCAAAATGCCAACTGATAAAACAGCCTGGGGTGCCCAGCTGGCTTAGTCAGTAGAGCGTGCAACTCTTGATTTCAAGGTCGTGAGTTCAAGCCCCACACTGGGCGTGGAGCCTACTTAAAAACAAAAGAAGCATTCTCTGAGTGTTTATGTCCAGTGTAGGTGGGTGTGTGGGGCTTACAATTAAAAGCTGATGATGATCTGGATAAACAAGAAAGATTTTATTTATTTATTTGGCAGAGAGAGACAGTGAGAGAGGGAACACAAGCAGGGGGAGTGGGAGAGGGAGAAGCAGGCTTCCCGCCAAGCAGGAAGCCCAGTGCGGGGCTCGATCCCAGGACCCTGGGACCATGACCTGAGCCGAAGGCAGAGGCTTAACCAACTGAGCCACCCAGGCGCCCCAACAAGGAGTATTTTCATTAGAACCCCAGTTTTGCATATATGTGGTCATGTGTAGTTACACCAGCATAACGCCAACAAAAAGATTAGAAGCAGATACACTAAAACAACAAGAGATGTTATCAGGCATGTGCTTATATGTACCTTTCTGTATTTCCTAAAATTCCTATAATAGGCATATAAAACTTTTATTGATTAGAAAAGGAGGCTTCTGGGGGTGCCTGGGTGGCTCAGTTGGTTAAGTATCTGCCTTCACTTAAGCTCAGGTCATGATCCCAGGGTTCTGGGATCAAACCCCGTATTGGGCTCCCTGCTCAGTTGGGAGCCTGCTTGTCCCTCTCCCTCTGCTGCTCCCGCACCCCCCCCCCCAACTTGTGTGCTCTTTCTCTCTCTATATATAAAACCTTTAAAAACAGAGAGAGAGAGAGAAGAAGAAGAAAGAAAAGGAGGCTTCTTAAAAAATTACAAGTAAGAGGCGCCTGGGTGGCTCATTCGGTTAAGCGTCTGCCTTTGCCTCAGGTCAAGATCCTGGGGTCCGTGGATTGAGCCCTGCATCCGGCTCCCTGCTCAGTGGGAGTCTGCTTCACCCTCTGCCTGTTGCTCTCCCTGCTTGTGTTCTCTCTCTCTCTCTCTCTCTATCAAATAAATGTTTTTAAAAATCTTTAAAAAAAAATTACACGTGTGAAATTTCAGCAAAATAGTTGTTTAATCAACAGTACTAATCACAGGAGTGATCCAAAGTTGACTAAATAAAGGCATACCATTTGCTGAGAGTAGAAGGAGACCCTTATGGATCGAGCACAGAGTAGCTTACCTAGTTTGTAGTTCACATATATTATAACATTTACTCTTCCATTTTAAGGAAGAGGAAACCGATCCTCAGAAAGGTAAGTTTTGCTGTCTTTGAACCCACATCAGCTAAAAAGAAGAGAGTGTTGTAAGGAGCAGTCCTGACTGGGAAGAGAAGTAGTTAACAGAGGAGACCCAACCTGGATGAATTTGTGGCCATGGATAGTCTGTAACTGCCAGTTTAGTTTCGAGTTAATTACATGGAAATTATATGGAAAGCTTGCACCAGAGCCATCTGATCCTGGGTCTGGGGGCAGCTAGGGTCTTCCAGATCCTGGTGATTTGTTGGGCCCTGGCACCATATTCACAGATAACCAGAATGTCAGGGGGTAGGCCCAAGAGGAGACTTTCCAGTGAAAACGAGAGCGAGCAGGAAGAACATGCTCACCTATCTCTTCTTGCCCTCACCCCTGAATGCACAAGAAAATTATTTTTAGAGATCCACACAGACAGTCAGGTGCTCACTGAGTATTTTGCATGTGTGAACATTAATGAGATTTTCATCTTAATGATGGTGATTGGGGCACCTGGGTGGCTCAGTTGGTTAAGCGACTGCCTTCGGCTCAGGTCATGATCCTGGAGTCCCTGGATCGAGTCCCGCATTGGGCTCCCTGCTCGGCAGGGAGTCTGCTTCTCCCTCTGACCCTCCTCCCTCTCATGCTCTCTGTCTCTCATTCTCTCTCTCTCTCTCAAATAAATAAATAAAATCTTAAAAAAAAAAAGTTTAATGATGGTGATTAACCTGTGTCTCTCCTGTGCAGATCGTATCTGCAGTCCAGTACTGCCACCAAAAACGGATTGTTCACAGAGACCTCAAGGTGAGTTGCAGGGCCCTTAGTCTGTGAGTGTATGCTCTGCCTGTATGTGCTCAGTTCTACTGGTGGTCACAGATTAGATTGCCTTATTAAATAAGAAAAGGTAAATCCTATAATAATTGATTCTTTTAGTCAGGTTTTGGTATTAATGAAATATGAAGTTTATTAAAAGTATCTTACATTTCAGTTAAGGTAGCTCATAATTGGTCTCTGTGGAAATATTATCACACTACCAAAGAGGTGGGGCCTCCCAAAAGCTATGCTGTCACCTAGACGGTGCCCTCAGTGCCACCTGGCCACCTCTTCTGTGTCTCTGGTCAGTGTGGTGCTGCCCGGAGACCTACTTACTGCCCACTGCTTCACTTCTGGCCCACTCTTGGCATGGGATAAGGTTTTCTGTTTCCCAGAGAACGTAGAAATGCCAGGCAGAAATGTCCAGTTCCCCAGCAAGCCTGCAAAGTAAGCTGCGCCCGTGCCCACCCTTCACCTCTCAGAATACTCCTCTTGTTGCAGGCAGTAGGGCGGCTCTGCTCACCCTGCCTCTGGGTTCTGGGCCCTCTCTACCTCCCGGCTTCTCACCAGCAGCATTTACAAAAACATGCTGAAGTCTGCACTGTCTTTTACCAAAAAAAACCTCTCCACCCCAAGTCCCCTTCCAGATACACTAGTTTTCTCTCTCTACTTTCACAACCGCATCTCCCTAAACATCGTCTAGATTTGTTGGTCCTCGCTTCCTCCCCTTCCGCATGCCATTATCATCAACTACTTGCTCCTCTCCACATCCACCCATGCTGCTTACACATCCACTCTAGTTGCTGCAGTGGCCACCTGTATGCTGATGACCCCAGATCCATGCCTGCGGCCAGAGCTGACAGATGGGCGACAGCTAAGCCCTACTTCTGTCCCTTGGGTTCAGCAGGTTCATAGCCTACCTTCTTCCTTCCTGAACGGGAATGTTCATTTCTCATTCTGATGCCTCATGTCCCTCGGTGCCTCAGTCTCCTTTGCTCTACCATCCACTCAGTCCCCAGGTCCTTTTGCTACTGTTTCCTAAACCTTTTTTGAGCATGCTGTTTCCTGTCTCTGGGGCCACTGTCTTCACCCAGACTGCCAGCATCTCGTACACCAGTTTTTTGTTGGTCTTCCTTGCTTCCAATCTTGCCTCTCCCTCCCTTGTCTATTTTACACCCTGCAACCAGAATGGTCTTTTAAAAATACAAATAATGGCGCCTGGGTGGCTCATTTGGTTAAGCGACTGCCTTCGGCTCACGTCATGATCCTGGAGTCCCAGGATCGAGTCCCGCATCGGGCTCCCTGCTCAGCAGGGAGTCTGCTTCTCCCTCTCCCGCTCCCCCCTCTTGTGCTCTCTCTCTCTCACTCTCTCTCTCAAATAAATAAATAAAATCTTTTTAAAAAATACAAATACAAATAAGATTGTCGTTTTCCTGCTTGAGTTAATGGCTTCCCATTGCCCTTAGGTGGAAAACTTGAACTTCCTACCAGTCACTCAACTGGCCCTTTGTGATTCGGCCATGGCCATGTCCCCTGCACCTCTTTTCCACACACTGTCTTTCAGTTTCTTGAGTGTAAAGCATGTTCTCTCTTTCCTTCTGGGTTTTCAGACTGTTTATATTCTGCCTCCCACCTCACACCCACTACTATTACCTAAGCCTCCAGGCAGCGGCTCTGATTTCACCCCCCTCTAGGAAGCCTTCCTGCACCTGTTAGTGCTGGGCCCACAGCTCCCCACACATCCTCAGTTACAGCACTGAGGTCAGAGTGCAGCTGCTTGGTCTTCTGCCTTTCCCCCTCTAACCTGTGAGCTCCTTGAGGGCCAGACCCGGTCTATCTTGTTCATCATATGTTCAGACACAAATATAATGCCGGGTGTGTCATCGGCATGTGGTAGATGTTTACTGAAATAAATGAAGATGACTGTGATCTGTATCTTGAATGAGGTCCAGGGCTCTCCCCTCCCCAGTAATAGCCATTGCACAGCTCTTCAGCCGTTTTTATAAAACGTGGCTGGCCGCTTAAAGCAAGTGTTCATTTTTTTAAAAGCCACTTATTATTAATTGAGAAAGCTATTTAAATAATTTTTTTTTTAATCATGGGGCATTTGTTGTTTAAAATATTGCCAGAGTTAATCTATACCTTGTATCTGTTACTGGTTATTAATGTTAAAAAATTAAAAATCTTGGGGCGCCTGGCTGGCTCAGTCATAAGAACATCTGATTCTTGATCCCAGGAGTTCCAGCTCCACATTGGGTATAGTGATTACTTAAAAATAAAACTAAAATAATAAGTATAATAAAATATAAATAATAAACATAATAAAAAATAAAATTAGAAATTCTAATTTATCTTCTGTTTTTATGTTTTTCCTCTAGAAAGAATGTTTCCTTATTTTTTTCATTAGGTTATGTTAACTTTATATCATTAAAAAAAGCTTTTATGAAATAAATGCCTAATTCTGTCACAGTTCTAATTCTATTTTGGTTAAATTTCATTTTTGTCTTGATGTTTTCCCTCTAGGCCGAAAATCTATTGTTAGATGCTGATATGAACATTAAAATAGCTGACTTTGGTTTTAGCAATGAATTTACTGTTGGCAGTAAACTGGATACGTTTTGTGGCAGTCCTCCATATGCAGCCCCAGAGCTCTTCCAGGGCAAGAAATACGACGGGCCGGAAGTGGACGTGTGGAGCCTTGGCGTAATTCTCTACACTCTAGTCAGCGGGTCACTCCCCTTTGATGGACAGAACCTAAAGGTATAAGAACCAGTTGTTATCCACCCTCTTCAGAATGCTAAACATTTTATTAAATGATGAGGGTTAATATTTTAATGATCTGTCAGTATGATGGGGTCTCAGTGGGTTCTTTTTTAACCTAAAATTTGACTCAACTAGTTTTCTTTCCTCCCTGCCCCCCCAAAGGAACTGAGAGAAAGAGTATTAAGAGGGAAATACAGAATCCCTTTCTACATGTCCACAGACTGTGAAAACCTTCTCAAACGTTTCCTGGTGCTAAATCCAATAAAACGAGGCACTCTAGAGGTAATTGCATAAGTGCAAAATAAGTAATGACTTTGGAGAGTCTTTACAGTATTTTTAGAACTTTGCTTGGTTTGTATGACATATTGAATACTCTCCTGGGGCTTTTTAAGCAGGAATTGAGACATTGACTTTTTTAAAAGTTATCCTCTGAGATATAATCCTTGAAATGTTGAAAATAAATTTTTCTAAATATTGTGGTTATCAGCATGTTTTATTTTATGCTGCTAATGAATAGTTCACCTTTCAGCAAATCATGAAGGACAGATGGATCAATGCAGGGCATGAAGAAGATGAACTTAAACCATTTGTTGAACCCGAACTAGACATCTCAGACCAGAAAAGAATAGGTAATTTACTCTGTGCCTGCGTCCTTGTGTGTGTGCAAGTAACATACTTCTGTTTTGACTCCTATGGATATGCCTAAAATGGGAATAATAGGAAGTTAAACATAAGTTACATGAGTCAGCTTATCTGTTTTGTCGTATTTAGGAACTTACCTGTAGTTTCCTAGAATGGGAACTTAGAAATAAGCCAACTGCCCATTTATGTTAGAAAATCTATGATGTTTTCGGTCAAATAATGGAAATTATTTTATCCTGTAACACAGTGATTTTGTATCCAGACAAAACACATAAACTATATTATGTCCTTCTTTTAGATATTATGGTGGGAATGGGATATTCACAAGAAGAAATTCAAGAATCTCTTAGTAAAATGAAATACGATGAGATCACAGCTACATATTTGCTATTGGGGAGAAAATCTTCAGAGGTAAGAGTAATCAGAAAGAGCGAATATGACTTTTAGGTAAATGATGAGTTTAGTAAGCTCTTTCCTTAATATATATAACATTTGATGTATCATTTTTAAACTTACCTGCAAATGACAGATCTAACTGCTATGACCATTATTAATTTTAATTTTGAGGTAGTAACCTTAACGGTGGGTATTGTCACAAACTTGAATGTCATAAGTTAACCTATAGTCATTAATAGTTTAGAAATGATGTAAAGTATGAGATGAAGTGAACAGAGAGCATTTTAAATTATATGAAAAAGCCTAGAAAGAAAATCATAAATACCTATCCTTTCTTGAGCTTTTTTATCAGTCAGAAAATATTTTTGCCCAAATTGAAGGTTGTCACTTTTGTGCATTGTGATTCTTCGTCCGTAAATGAACTGTTTGTGAGAGGTTTGTGTGTTAGGAGAAGTTCAGTTTCCTAACATGTCCTTTGGGTCCGTGTTGTGGTTTGCTCTGTTCTTCTCATTTCCTCGTAGCTGGATGCTAGTGACTCCAGTTCTAGCAGCAATCTTTCACTTGCTAAGGTTAGGCCAAGCAGTGACCTCAACAGCGGGACTGGCCAGTCTCCTCACCACAAGGTGCAGAGAAGTGTTTCTTCCAGCCAGAAGCAGAGGCGGTACAGCGACCATGGTAAGTTTGAGATCGTTGCAGTGTGTCCTCCTGCAGTCTCCCCTTACACAAGAGACCTCGTAACATTGGGAAGCTCAAGGCCTACTGGGACGGGAAATTGACTTGGTTTATTTTCAGGGCATTTCCTTCCTACCAGTCCTCGTGATGGCGTGATCATCTCAAGGCTCTGATCTCTCTGGTACACTCACTCCTCTGGGACTCCGGCTTCAATCTCTGGTTCTCTGTTCGCTCTCTTCCCCATCTCTGCATTGGATTTACTTTCCTGAGCGTTGTCCAGCACTTTTGCAGTGCTGAAAATGTTCTAGATCTGTGCTGTCCCATAGAGTAGTCACTGGCCACATGTGGCTGTTGAGCACTTGAACTGGGGAGATGGTTTTCAGTTTTGATTAAGCCAAATTTATGTAGCTACATGTGGACAGCCGTGGAGAATGTATAGTACCCCAGTTTGCCTCAGTTGGTTTAAATTTTTGACTTGGGTCATTCTCAGCCGCACACTCTAGCTGTTGATGTGTCTTAACACCCTCACTCTTAAAATATTCACCATAGATGTGAATCTTTTATGAGCCTTTGGACCCTAAAAGATATGGTTACCAAACTTAACGATTATTCTGCCTTCCAGGCAGCCCCGTGTGTGGGGATCCAGAGACTCTACCCCGCGCGCGCACACGTGTGTGTGTATGTGTGTGCACAAGCATGCATGCGTGCTTATTTCACCTGTAACCTGTGAATGTGCACATGGCATTTGTAAACCTAGTGTTGATCTGGGTCTCTTGTCTCTTTGGTCATGTTCAGGTTAGTTGTTACGGAGGGGTTTTCAGTGCCTCTGGACAACAGGGCATTTAGCAAAATGCCTACAGATTGCTCTAAACCATCTAGTTTAAAGGGAATTATTCCTAAATTCTTGGTTGGAGGGGGAACTGGTTTTTGTTTTGGGTTTTTTGTTTTGTTTTTTAGTTTTCTCTTATCTCTAGTGACTATCTTAATAAGTTAATTCTTCCCTAAGCACATATATTCCATTTGGATTGGTAATGCCTTTTTTCTCCAGCTCAGAAAATTTTAGAGCGGAAAAGAGCTTTAGCCATGGTGTCATACACTCACCTAACCCCCATTTTATCAATAAGGATAAAGGCCAAGAGAGCTCACTAAGTCTCCCAAGGTTGCAGAGAAGTGGGAACACCTGTGAGAGAACCCCCGGACTTCTGGCCCCGGGTCCTGTGGCTCTGTCCACTAACCCACTGACCGATTACCTCATGGAGTAGTATTTTTATAATAATAATGATCCTTCCTTCTTGGAGCCTCTAATATTAAAAAGTGCATAAAAGAGGGGCACCTGGGGCGCCTGGGTGGCTCAGTTGGTTGAGCAACTGCCTTCGGCTCAGGTCATGATCCTGGAGTCCCTGGATCGAGTCCCGCATCGGGCTTCCTGCTCGGCAGGGAGTCTGCTTCGTCCTCTGACCCTATCCCCTCTCAGGTGTTCTCTCTCTCTCATTCTCTCTCTCTCAAATAAATAAATAAAATCTTTAAAAAAAAAAAAGAGGGGCACCTGGCTGGCTCAGTCAGTAGAGCATGCAACTCTTAATCTCAGGGTTGTGAATTCAAGCCCCAAGTTGGGTGTGGAGCCTACTTAAAAACAAAAAACAAACAAAAAAAATTTCATAAAAGAATATTTCCAGAAATCCATGTATATAGAAAGTCACTGACCCGATTCTATGTTGTTTTTTTATTCTTTTATGGGGATGAAGATAGTGGTCAGCAAAGGAAAGATTTTGGTTATGCCTCTGGCTGTGTTCTTTTAAGTGCTAAAAATGGGATAGATTGTATATACAGTATCTAGTAAAGCATACCCCCTTTATACCAAGTAAAGGCAGACAAGCCTGCAGCTAACCCAGCTTTTAGCTTGTCTCTCATCTCTCCCCTTGTTTCCTACTTCTAGATGCCAACAGTTTACATATGCCTGCTTCTGTAGAATTACAACTTGTTTTTTCTGTGGTTCTTAATTTGGGTCACCTGTGTGAACCCCCTGTATGTGTGTACATATTTTTCTAGGAAAGGTGATCTTCATTAGATTTTCAAAGCGTTCTTTGTCTTGTAAAAAAAAAAAAAAAAAGTAGAGAATCACTAGTTTATTAATCAATAAATGGTATTGGGGCATATGGTAGTTATCAGAAAAAAATAAATTTGCATCCATTTCTCACATCTTATACAAGGGTAGATTCCATTTGGAATAAAGATGTAAATATAAAAATATGGAAATATTAAAACATGAGATAATTTGCCTTTTCTTTATAACTTGGACTAGTGAGGGTCGTTCTGACTGTAATCCCAGTACTAACAGCCATGAAAGAAAAGACGTATTTACCAAGTTTGACTATGTAAAAATCGCATTTCTGTGTGAGACAGTCAGTCACACCATAGAACGCTACTTGGCAATAAAAAAGAACAAAGTATTGATGGGTGCAACCATTTGTATAGATCTCAAGGGAACTATGCTGAGCGGGGAAAAAAAATCTCAAAAGCTGTCATGAAATTGATTCCGTTCGTGTAACATTCTCTAAAAGAGAGAATTCCAGAGATGGAGACCAGACCAGTGGTTGCCAGTGTTTAGGGAACTAGAGGTTGGGGTGGAGAGGATGGCTGTGCTGGAAAAGGACAGTCTTTTTTTTTTTTTTTTTTTAAAGATTTTACTTACTTATTTGACAGAGAGAGACACAGCGAAAGAGGGAACACAAGCAGGGGGAGTGGGAGAGGGAGAAGCAGGCTCCCTGCGGAGCAGGGAGCCCGATGCGGGGCTCGATCCCGGGACCCTGGGATCATGACCCGAGCCGAAGGCGGACGCTTAACGACTGAGCCACCCAGGCGCCCCAGAAAAGGACAGTCTTGAGACGGAACTGCTCTGGCTTGACTGGTGGCTAGCCTGGGTGGTTCCTATGCATGGAACTCACTGTGGCACTGGTGAGACAGTGTAGTCAGGTTTCAAAGCAGATCAGCAGTAACCCTAAAAATGTAGGACGTCCTTAGCTGTCTCATGCTGTTGAGAAGAAAGATAAGTGTTAAGGGTAATATCACCCATACTTGGTTAATTCTTTGTTTTTTATGTTAAAATTCCCAAACTTAAAGCTTAATTGTTTCCCTCCTACAAATAAAAGCAAACCTTTGTATACTTCTAATTCAGTTCCAAATAAATTTACCATTTAGATTTTTCTCCAAGAAGTGGCTTTTTTGTACCCCACCCCAAGCCCTCTTTATTAGATTTAAAATATAAAGTCTCTTCTATAGAATAGATGATGAGCATTTGATGCCATTCCTGAAGATTACCGCTGGATGACATACATAACGAATATACTAGTTATCTTGTTCATTTCCACAATTCTTTGAACTCCAAATCTCCTGGGCTACCATCAGTCTCCAGATGCTTTTTTGTAGGGCATAAGTTAATTGTCCATCCAGGATGCTCCCAGGTGTATTCCTCCTGGGGTGGGAATGTGGCTGGGAACATGGCGTTCCTCTGCTTGTGTCCCCTTTCCCTGGCTACTCAAATTCCTGTTTATCTAGAAGATTATGAGTGCTTTAAAAAAGATCCAGGATAAAACTTCAAAAGTAATGACCCATAAATCTGTTCTGTTCCGAAAGGTGAAGGCCTCTCTCGTACAAAAAAGGATAAGGTTCACTCAGATGTACCAGGCGAAGCAGTTCATTCTGCATGATGTATGTACATCAAGTTAGTTTGATTATTTATCTGTACAGTAACACTCTCTGAAGATGTTTTCAGTGGACAGCTATCCCTGAAGATGTCTCTGAAGCACAACTATACAAGCTTATGAATTAAAAAAACAAAGAACAAACAAAACCAAAACTTTAAGAAAAGTAGAAAGGGACAAGTAAGTGAAATTTCAAAATGGAACTCATTGCGTAGGGAAGACATTATACATGAACGGGAAACATCCTACAGGATTTTACTGTCGTATTTTCTTAGATGATAGCAGTCTTAAGTCATCTTATAAAATATGTTTATTTTCACAGAATAAAATGTAAAACTATGTTCTGGCTTTTAAAAAGTAACGCTTTATTTTAGCTGGACCAGCTATTCCTTCAGTTGTGGCATATCCGAAAAGGAGTCAGACCAGCACTGCAGATAGTGACCTCAAAGAAGATGGAATTCCTTCCCGGAAATCAAGCGGAAGTGCTGTTGGAGGAAAGGGAATTGCTCCAGCCAGTCCCATGCTTGGGAACGCAAGTAATCCCAATAAGGCCGATATTCCTGAACGCAAGAAAAGCTCTACTGTCCCTAGTGTAAGTATTGTTAAGCTAGAGAGCATTCCTAGCATTGTAGGGTTATGGCAGTCTGGGCGTTTTGTTCCTCTGTTCTTACCCACCTGCAGTAGTGTCCCCACCAGGCCACCATGCCCAGTCTCAGCCTCTAGAGATCACCTTCAATACCTGTGTTGAAGGTGTTTCTTGCTGAGCCCCATCCCACTGGATGAGTGTTCAGATCTTTCTTGTCAAGGGCTGTTTCTGGTTATTCCACAAGCATCTGCTGAGCTTTAGGTCATTTCAGGTGCTGAGAAATAGAAATACCTCATAGCCTAAGAGGAAATAAATAAAACCAAATGATGACAGTGCAGACCGGCGACTGCAGACAGAAGCCTAACAGAGTCTCTGCAGGACACTGGGAGGTCTGATTGCCTGAGGGCCTGGGATATGGTTTGCATCTTCATAGGGCTCTCACGATAAAGAACATTTGAATGAGTCCTTACTGTGTGCCAGGGACTCTGCCAAGTGCTTTTCCATGTATTAGCTAAATTTTAGGTGAGAAAATGAAGAAAAGTTAGGTAATTTCCTAAAATTATACTGCTGGTCTGTATCCATCTCTTAATCCCTATCCTTAACAAATCTTCCCCTTAAATAGGTAGTATTTATTAAACTAAATTCAGTCTATTCAGTTTCAGGAACTTTTCTGTGAATTGAAACATGTTCTATCTGACTAATACAGTAATTATTATTCTTAGCACTCTTGAAGTAATTTTAGAAAGAATTTGCAGAGACTGTCGTCTTAGGAATATTCTGTTAACCACATTTTTTCCTACAAAGTTAACAGTGACATAGCCCTCCCTCTACCTCAAAAAACCCAAAGTGAGAGGACCCATGGAGAAGCTGGGCTGCTCCTTTTGGGAGGCTTTTATTTGTGCTGTTCTGGGCATAGGAGCTCATAGGGAAGCCTGAGGGGGTTTGTCTGCTCTATCCTCTGACCTTGTGTTTTATCAGAGTGAACCCTGTGTGAAAAGGTTTTTTATTTTGCTTTCCTAATGACCTAAAGTTGGGTTGTGACGTCACAGCTCTACAATTTAAGTTCAGCCTCCAGCTTTTGCTGACATTTGTGAGAGGAAGGTAAGATATGTCTTTTGCCTTCATGACTTTCTGTCCCTGTTGCTCTACTCAACTGCACACCTCCTCCCTTTTGAAGATGTACCCCAAGCATTGTCAGTCATCCATATCTGATTATTTATAAAAGATAAAAGTAACGTTATTAAAATTTTCTCCCATTTAGACTGGAATCTCCCTGTACATGGTCTACTTGTGTGATAGTAAAGGTGGCTGCTTCTCTTTGTTTAAAAATTATTCGTATCTGATGAAATTCCTTAGTTGTTAATTCCTTGCTTGTTAATTTTGAAAGCATTAGCTTTTTAAAAACTGGCGTGAAATTCATGTGACATAAATAACCATTTTGAAGCAGACTGTTTGGTGGCATTTGGTACATTCACGGTGTTGTGCAACCACCACCTCTCTCAAGTTCTGAAACTTGATTTCATTACCCCAGAAAAACATCCTATATCCTTTAAATAATCATTCTCCTCTCCCCCATATCCTGGCAACTGCTAATCTGCTTTCTCTCCTAATGGATTTGCCTACTGTGGGTACTGCATATAAATGGCCTCCTTCCATACACAACCTTTTGTGACTGACTTCTTTCCCTCAGCGTAATAATATTCTCAAGGTTCATCCAAGTTGTAGCATGTATCAGCACTTCCTGCCTTTTTAAGTGTCAGTTTATTGCTCTGTTCATCCCTTGATGGACATTTAGATTGTTTCTACCTTTTGGTTATTGTTAATAACATTGCTATAAACATTTATGTGTAGGTTTCTATTTAGACTTGTGTTTTCATTTCTGTTGGATACATGCCTAGGAATGAAATTGCTGGCTCCTATGGTAATTCAATAATTAACTTTTTTTTTTTTTAAGATTTTATTTATTTGAGAGAGAAAGTGAGAGAGAGAAAGAGCACAGGATGGGGGAGCGGGAGAGGGAGAAGCAGACTCCCTGCTGAGCAGGGAGCCCGATGTGGGACTTGATCCTGGAATTCCAGGATCGTGACCTGAGCCGAAGGCAGTCGCCCAACCAACTGAGCCACCCAGGCACCCAATAATTAACTTTTTTTGAGGCACTGCCAAACTCCAAACTTCCCCACACTGACTGTACCATTTCCCATTCCTTCCATATACGAGAGTCCCTATTTCTCCACATCCTTGTCAGCACTTGTTATTTTCTGTTTTTTATTATAGCTGTTCTAGGGGCGCCTGGGTGGCTCAGTTGCTAAGCGTCTGCCTTCGGCTCAGGTCATGGTCCCAGGGTCCTGGGATCGAGCCCCCATTGGGCTCCCTGCTCCTTGGGAAGCCTGCTTCTCCCTCTCCCACTCCCCCTGCTTGTGTTCCCTTTCTCACTGTGTCTCTCTCTGTCAAATAAATAAAATCTTTAAAAAAAAAAAAATCTATTATTATAGCTGTTCTAATGGGCAAAAAGTGGTCCCTTGTTGTGCCTTTGATTGGCATTTCTTTAATGACCAGTGGTGTTGAGCATCTTTTCATGTGCTCATTGGCCTTCTTTGGGGATATGCCTGTTCAAGTCTTTTGCCCATTTTTAAACCAGACTGTTTGTCATTTTGTAGTTGAGTTGTAAGAGTTTTCTATGTATGTTAAAACTTTACCAAATATATGATGTGAAGATATTTTCTCCTATTCTGTGGGTTCTCTTTTTACATTCTTGGTAATATCCTTTGATGCACAAAAGTTTCTAATTTTGATAAAGTCCAGTTTATCAGTTTTTTTCCTTTTGTTATTCGTGCTTTGGTGTCATATCTCTGAATCTGTATAATGCAAGGTTGTGCAGACTTACCTGTGTCTTTACTAATAGTTTTATAGTTTTAACACTTACGTTTAGATCTTTATTTTTCATTTTTATTATTTTCATGCTTATTATTACCTAATTTGTATATTTACCTTATATTTCTAATCCTTGCTTTTTGATTTTTGTTTTAAAAACAGTAGCTATCAGGGCGCCTGGGTTGCTCAGATGGTTAAGCGTCTGCCTTCGGCTCAGGTCGTGATCCCGGGGTCCTGGGATCAAATCCCATATTGGGCTCCTGGCTCAGCGGGGAGCCTGCTTCTCCCTCCCCCTGCTCACGCTCTCTCTCTCTACCTCTGTGTCTCAAATGAATAAATAAAATCTTAAAAAAAAAACAACAACAACATAAAAACAGTGGCTATCTTCCTACTCTGTTCTAAGTGTGTTATTAATTTATGGATTATTATAGCCAACTTTTTGGAGTCACTCTACCATAGCCAGCTTTCATTCCTTCTGCCAGGAGACAGGACAGAGACTGTTGCCTCCACTGCCATTTGTGATCTTTTTAGGCAGTACTACTGATAGCTTACTGTCGGTTTATTCAAAGACCAAATTATTCATGTGTATTTAGATGAGCTTTTTTTTCCTCTTTGTACTCTCCTTATTACTGAATGGTAAAAAGATAAAAAAATGCCTCCTCCTTTGTTTTTAATAGAGTAATACAGCATCTGGTGGAATGACACGGCGAAATACATATGTTTGCAGTGAAAGAACTACAGCTGATAGACATTCAGTAATTCAGAATGGGAAAGAAAACAGGTATGAAATTTTACCTGTTTGCAAGAAAATTTGTTTTTCCCAAAAGAAATGGAAGCATGTTGTTTACTTCTCAGTTTTTATAATCAGAATTCAGATAATAATGGTAAGTATTCTTTCACGGTAAGTTAAATACAACGCAAATTTTTAGCGAGATACTAGAATTCCAAATTCCTCTCATTGTCCAGAGCTTATCAGGCTGTGTGTGTCATGGTTGAAAGGGTTGAGTTAAATCAGGGAGCTTTCCTACAGGAGACACATCTTAAGCTGTGTTGTAATTGTAGAATAGCAAATAGGGGAGTGGACATTATTTTGTGTATATTAACAAGTTGAACAAAGGGTGAAGTGGGGAGGGATAACGACCCAGGGCACAGGGAGCCAGGCCTCTGGAGGACAGTGTGAGGCAGGGTGAGTGAGACTTCAGTAACAGGCCAGCAGTTTACCAAAGGGGCCAAGTGGATAAGTTGAGTGGGAAAAGTGGGATAAAGTAGGGCCAAAGACCATCGTTTAGGGGGAGAGAAAAAAGAGAAGAAAGAGGTTGGGATTGATGGAGTAGTCAAATATATTCTGTATGGAACAAATTTCTCAGGCAAGCATGGATTTTTCTTCTTTCTTTTGGTAAGAGTAGCATATAAATTAAATTCAGAGGGGTGAGGTAAAGCCACAATGAGCAAGTAAAGTTCTGGAGTAGAAATCCATTAAGTAAATTCCCACCATCTTTCATTGTCCCCAGCTGCCTAACTTGAACATTGTCTGGTCTCGTCACAGTCCCATGTCTGGCATCAAAACGGTTTCTTTCTTTTTTGCTGACATTTACTTTCTGAAGATGCATTGTATGGTTTCTTTTCCCTTTAGATCTCATTAGTCAAATGTTTGATCACTAACTCTTATGACAGCCTAAGCAAAGATTCTTCTTTCCTCTTTCATCCTCAAAACCAGACTGTTTATCATTTCCCTCTTCCATAGACTACTTAACTTTGAATTGACATGAAGCTAAAAGCTTATTGTGTGAGATTGTGTTGGTTATTCAGTGCGTTTTTAAAAATATTTACACTCCAGTGTTCTCTTTTCTGATTCCTATGTGTGTACTTGTTTTAACATTGTCTTTTTCCTTGTGATTAAAAACTATCGATAGGGCGCCTGGGTGGCTCAGTCAGTTGAGCGACTGCCTTCGGCTCAGGTCATGATCCCAGGGTCCCGGGATCGAGTCCCACATCGGGCTCCTTGCTCTGCGGGGAGCCTGCTTCTCCCTCTCCCACTCCCCCTGCTTGTGTTCCCTCTCTCACTGTGTCTCTCTCTGTCAAATAAATAAATAAAATCTTTAAAAACAAAACAAAACAAAAAAACTATCGATAGCTTGAGTATGATATGGCAGCTGTGCTAGATAGCTTACAAATAATTGATTTTTTAATAGTAGTCTATTCTCTGGTAAAGTTTCTTACATTACATTCTCAAATCTATCATTTCTCCTAGTTCAAAATTATTTAATAGAATAATAGAATAATAATAAATATTTAATAGAATAGAATTATTTAATTATATCAATAGAAGACAATTAGAGTGTCTAATGTAAATGTTGTTTCATGACTCTTCTTCCTTTTGGAAATTCTTTTTAGTTGCTGAACTACTTTACCAGATTCTTTTTGACCTTTAGGAAATACAGTTCTCTGAGGTAAAAGGCTGTTAAGACCAGGATCTGCTCTCTGCTCCCCAGCTTGTGTTTGTGTGGTGCACATGCTCTTCTGACTCTCCCTTCCTGCAGTATTCGATTCACTCTTTGGAAACGATTTGAAGAATTCTCTAATCTCTTTGGAATCATTACCTGTCTGTGTCTTCCCTGTCAGGGCTGACCCCTCCTTATCCCAGCCTAGGCCTCGTTGCTACAGTAGCTTCGATCATTTAAATGCTTTGCTTTTGAAAGTATTGTTTTTATCTTTAGCCAAGTAGAGCCTCAGTGTCAAACCACTCAAGACATGGCCCAAAATTTGTATAATATCTGGATTTTCTTTTTCTTTCTATTATACAAATGCATTGAAAAACTGTGGGAAATTATTGGAGGCTTGAATGGCAAACTGGTCATATTTTTTACTTTCAGTTAGGGCAATAAATGTGACAACTTTCTCGCCCTTAAAGTCGATGCTGAGTTGTAAATTGGATGCACTGCACCTTCTCTGTGCACAGATGACTTCTCAGGCAGGTGGTTACTTTCTCCTCTCCCCATGTAGATCTCTGACTCCTTGACTAAAATACTGGTGAGCTACAGGATGCCTGGATCCCTGTTAACTTCTGGAAGAAGGACGTTCATTTTCATTTTTAACCATGAATATGTGGGACTTTTTTCTTACGTGTGCATATGTTTATACAAAATTCTAACATGAGCGTGATCATGGCTAGTAAAGGCTGTGCAAGTTTGAACCGAAGGCTGTACACGTCCTAGACAAGCTCTTCTCCAGCTGTCTTCCAAATCCTGCCATGAGCATGGGGTGATGTTTTAAATTCTCCCCACTGGCAATGTCATCGTTTCATTTTAAAATTAATTTTATGGATTAATTCTTACCAGGGCAGTCTTTCTGTTTTATCAGGCCTACTGTATGAAAATAAAAAGAAATCATTGTTGTTTAAAGGACAGAAGTTACAGGATTTGGCAAACTCTTGCTTTGGCTTGAGCACATGTGAACTGTTTTCTAAGTCAGACCATTGTTTTGACATCGGGCATGCTGAAATCCATCTTACTTTTGCTACATCTCCTGATGTAATTATTCTACCTTCTTCTGACGGCAGACTCTGACCATGGCCCATTTCCAACAATGACGAATAGTCAGTATAAACTAGGCGTGAGAAAGTGTAACCACATCTTCAGTTGTATGGTTCTGTCACAGTTGTGTAGGTTCTTACAATGAGTCTTAAACACTTAGCACAGAGGCTGACGCATAGTGCTCAACACATACTAGCTTATGAAAGTATTGATGATAAACCATTCAGATGGGAATGTCAAGAATTTTCTTAGTTTACACTGATTTCTCGACTTAATTATTTGGCAACCTACACACATAACGTGGACTCTGTGTCCTCTTTCATATGCTTTTAGATACCTATAGGAGACTGTTGGAAAATGTATTCAGTTGAGGGCCCCCGAGGATGTAGTGTGATATGGTTATAATAAAGCACAACAGAATCTTTTCAAAAAAGTTTTAGGTATTTGATATTCTAGGTAAGATTTTAAAATTGTGGGGCGCCTGGGTGGCTTAGTCATTAAGCATCTGCCTTCAGCTCAGGTCATGATCCCAGGGTGCTGGGATCGAGCCCCACATTGGGCTCCCTGCTCAGTGGGAAGCCTGCTTCTCCCTCTCCTACTGCTTCCCCTGCTTGTGCTCTCTCGCTCTCTCTGTCAAATAAATAAAATCTTTAAAAAAAAAAAAAAAAGATTTTAAAGTTGTAAAGTGTTTCTATTATTTTATCCATTTATCCATTTGTCCTACATTAAGGCACAGGGATTGAGCAGAGAAAGTTCACACATGTATCTTTTAGGTTAAATTTTTAATTCTGCCTTTACCCAATCACTGAGTATGGTTTGAGTCAGCAACCAAAACATACCATATTAGAATGTTCTGATAGGGCATAAATGTCATATCAAACAAATTCAAAATACCTATCCTTTAGTAACTGTAAGTAGATTAGAGTTTCCAAAAATGATAATCAGACATAAATACAAAGCAGTTAGATTAATAGGAACCTCAAACAACTTGAATTGTAAGAAATTGTATTACTATTAATATTATTTCTGTAGGTTACTATTTCTGTAGGTTAAGGTTTGAAAATGGTTTTCCCTTAGACCCAGAAATACTAAAAATGTAAGGCAGCTACTGTTTTGCTGATGTAGATGATTATGGGCTAATCTATTAAATATAACCACCATTTATTTTTAGCACTTTTCTGGTGGTAAAATTTTGTCCAGTTTTCGCAGCAACCAACTTGATGACCTTTTAGAATACTGTGTCAAAAAAATTTTTTTTAATTTACAATGAAAATATCAATTTACACTTCCCTTTTTGGAAAGGTTTATAACTTTAAGGAGGGTCACTTTTTTGCTGCAAAGTGTCCGTCCAGTCTTGCCATGTTTATGTGCCTTGTAGATCTTGCCTACACGGTCCAGCCATTGAGCGGTATGCCTTCGGGAGAGAGGTGGGGGGAATAGATAGGCATCTTCTTGCTCTGTATGCTGACTAAAAGCCCTTTACTTCTTCACGGTCTTTGGGATCATTCATATTCTCCAGGGAAGAAGCTAGACAACCCCTGTCTTCCTTTATTCCCCTGCTTTTAATGCACCCATTGATCCTAGCTCCTAATTTGAGCAAGAGAATGTCAGCAACTAGGCAGAGACATCAAGTGGGTTGACCCTTGACCTGTCCTGAACAGATAATAGAGCACAAAAGACAGTCATTATTTATCTGTAACTTGTTAAAGAATAAAGTTGTGTGTATATATATATATATATATATATACACACACATATATATATACACACACGTATGTATGTCTGTATGAGAAACAAGCAAGCATTTCTCAGATAGTTGAATCTGTTTCTCCCTCTCCCGCCCCCACCTCTCACTACTATACTTGACTAGTCTTTAAAAAGAGTTGAATCAGTTAGGACTATGTGTTACAGGTGACAGGAACCCAGTCCAAACAAACTTAAACTAAAAAGGGCATCGGGACACCTGGGTGGCTCAGTTGGTTAAGCGGCTGCCTTCTGCCCGGGTCATGATCCTGGGGTCCTGGGATCGAGTCCCACATCGGGCTCCTTGCTCAGTAGGGAGCCTGCTTCTCTCTCTCTCTCTCTCCCTTTGCTTGTGCTCTCTCTGTCAAATAAATAAAATCTTAAAAATATCAATAAATAATAAAAAGGGCATCTTTGGGGCACCTGAGTGGCTCACTCAGTTGAGCGGCAATTGACTCTTTCTTGATTTCGGATCAGGTGATCTCGGGGTTGTGAGATTGAGCCCCCCATCAGGCTCTGCGCTCAGTGGTGAGTCTGCTTGGGATTCTCTCTCTCCTTCTCCCTCTGCCCCCCCCCACCCCGCCACGCATGCGCTCGCGCACTCTCAAATAAGTAAATCTTTTTTTAAACAGTGTATCTTTGAGTTCCTATAACCAAAAAAGTGCAGGGAAAGTCAGGGTCTGTCTCCTGATTTCGCTTCCTCTGTAGTGGTTCCCTGGTTGGGCTCAGCAGCATTAGACTTGGCATCTTCCCACACTCAGCTCCTCGGACAGAAGCCCTGGGGCTGTCTCTGGGTCCATGCTGGTGTGGTTCTAGCCATGTGCCCATCCTGTCACTGGCCGGAGTGGCTGCGAAAGTCTGGGATGGAGTCAGTGACATCCAGAGCCTAGGAACTTGTTTCCTTCATAGCAGAATTCAAGTGTCATTGCCCCAGGTAAAAGAGTGGGTGCCAAGTGGCAAAAACACAAAACTGAATCTATTTTTATCTTCATAAGGCATTTGTTTCCAATTCTTCTGTGACTACATTAGAGCCATTCTCCCAAGTCAGAGGACAAAATTCTCAAACAAAAATGCAGGGACAAACAGATCTTGAGCAATTTATTACAGACACATCTCCCCCACCCCACCGATTAGGATTGTCAGAGCTCCAGTGACCCATTTCATTAACTTACCTTTTCAGTTAGGAGAGCATTTATTGGGCACCATGCTTTAGGACACTCAAGCAGGGAAGGGTCACTGTGATACCGTATGGTGTGCAGTGGCAGGTGAACGTAGTACAGAAGGGGATGATAAGCTGCTGATGGGAAAGGACATCAGGGAAAACTTCATGGAGAGGGTGACCTCTGGGTTAAATTTTGATGAAAATAGAAGATGCCTGCTCTCCAGACACAGAGAATAGTTCCTGTGAAAGTTGTTTGACCTGATGTATGACCAGGGGTTTACACATCATAGAAGCTCCCAAAAGTCAAGTTCCAAAAGGTAACAGTAGAAGGTAGAGCCTGGAGCTGCAGCCGGGGCTGGGCTGTGGGTGCCTGAGGGAATGAGTGGGATGCTAGGGTGAGGGATCTGAACTCAGTCCTGAAGACACAGTGTACTTTTGAAAGGCTATAAGCAGATGAGTGGCCAGTGAAGGCCAGGAGACCAGTGAAGACAGGTGCTAAGGTATAGACCAGGTGGGAGAGAGGGAAGACCCTCTGTGGGGAGACCCTGGGGTAGAGGTGGGGAGGGTGTGCAGACTAGTGTGCACGATCACAATTGTGAATCCCTGGCTCGCTTCAAAGGAGAGAAACTGCCTCTTTGGAACTCCAAGGGCAGGATGACTGAGCTGGAATTAAGGAACAACGTGGCCATGGTGAGGCTCGTGTCACTCTCTATGCCAGGTGAAGCTGCAGGCGTCCAGCCACGTCTGTCGCTCTTTTTCTTTGTCTACAAGTAGTTAAATTACTCTTATTAGTTTTCCTGCCTTGAAAAAAGGGGCTCTGTTGACCCCTTAGGAATTTTGACTTGTTTGTAAAGAAGTGAATGTCCTTTACATAGGAAGATTCTCATCTATCTTTAAACAGCATAGGACACTTGGATAAATAGCACCTAGTTACTATACCTGTCGTTTTACTAGTCCATTTAAAATATGTCTGTGTGCTTGGGGAACAGGTCGAAAGCACGGTGTGCTCATGTTATAGATTCACTCGACCACTTCAATTTGAACGGAGACATCTCTTTCGGGAAAGGCTTTATTTTGTACACAGCTTAGAAGACATTGCCCCCTCACATAAATATTCAAACAAGTAAGATGTCATTTTTCTTCTTTAAAGCTAATAAATCTTTTACTGTTTGGAAAAAAAATAGCTACAGGTTAGTAATTGCTGCAGAATCCCTAAAACAAGGTTAAGAGATTTTTGTTCTAAGGCAAAAATGAGATGGTTTGGGGAGGAAGGTGTGTGCTTTAAATAGCAGGTCGCTCTTTTTGTCACTGCGCCATCATATTGTTGTTTCTGCCTCTGCCTGAACCCAAACCCCCTCCCAGCCTGACAGAACTGTTCGCTTACGCAGCTAGCCCTGCCTCAGTTTGTGCCACATCTTCCACCTGTCGGCTGAGACATCAGAAGTCGATGTCCATGTCAGCCTCTGGGCACCCCACGATGATGGTACCTCCAGTAGACAGTGAAGGAGATAACAGCAAGGCTGTGTAAGACAACTGCACATTCCTCGTGAGACTCTTGTGTGCCCGCCGCTGCTCCATGCTGTGCTGTGGATTTTATAGTCCACAGGTCGTTACTCTTGTGCACAAAATACCCTTCCTGTGTGTGGTTTTAGTTCAGCGTATCCTATGTCATGGTGTCCTTGGTCGTCTGTGTGTCTTCATGCCTTTGCATACTCCAAAGGGTGTAAGAAGTACCCCCTCCTCTCCATGGTGCTCTTAGCATGTGGAATCTGAAAGTAAATATGCCTTTTGTGTTTGTGTGCTTCTAAAACTTTTTAGTTGCCTATTCTTCAGTTTCACCCGCATAGCCCATATTTCTTTTATATTGCCAAGGTTCTCTGCATGTAAGCAACTTTGAGAAGGAAGCAAAGGGAAAAAGCTTGAGTTAGCCATTCCTTTGTCCTAGAATTTCCCTGCATTAATCTTGTCCTTGAAAATATGTATGTCCTATTCCCTTAAACCCCATGAGGCTGTGTTTCATTATATACTGTTTATTTGATACCCTCCTATTTAGCTTGCCTTTTGGTCCTGCGCCCTATAAAATACCCCCTTGGGTCTAGAGATTTATTATAAGTGATTTTCTCTACCGTATATAAGAGGTATATTGGGATTGTAGATTTTTGTGTGCCATGTTTGCCACAAAGCTGGGCTTTTGTGAACAAAGATGCGAGACTGTTCTGTTCTGCTCTTCTAGTGCTATTCCTGATCCGAGGACTCCAGTCGCTTCAACACACAGCGTCAGCAGTGCAGCCACCCCAGACCGACTCCGCTTCCCGCGGGGCACAGCCAGTCGCAGCACTTTCCACGGCCAGCCCCGAGAGCGGCGGACCGCCACGTATAACGGCCCGCCCGCCTCACCCAGCCTGTCCCACGAAGCCACACCGTTGTCACAGACTCGAAGCCGAGGCTCCACTAACCTTTTTAGTAAATTAACTTCAAAACTCACAAGGAGGTAAGTGCTGGGTGGTGCCTTTTGTTGGGAGCAGATACAAGAGCAAAAAGAGAAATGTCTTCTCTGTTTTGTGAAGCAACTGCCCAGATACTTTTCACTTTGTCTTTAACTCTTTTTTTTTTGGTGAGAGAGATCACGAGCAACGGGAGGAATAGAGGGAGAAGTAGACTCCCCACTGAGCAGGGAGCCTGATGGGGGACTCGATCCCAGGACCCTGGGATCATGACCCGAGCTGAAGGCAGACACTCAGCTGACTGAGCCACCCAGGCGCCCTTCGCTTTGTCTTTAGCTCGTGTTTTTCTGGTTTATATATAGAACTTTATACTTTAAAACCTTTTAGAATAGGAATTACAGAGCTCAGAATCTTCACAGCACCAAAAATCCTCTAGCACTTGGGAGGCTGTTGTTTTCTTTAATTGCTGTTCCTTTTGATCACACTTCTGTCCACATGGCATGTTTACTGCAGTTTAGCAAAACCCCACCTCCAGTGTAAGCTGGCCACTCCAGAAGCAGTCCCTGTAGAAGACAGCGTGTGATGTGACCAGCCCTGGACACAGAGGAGAGAGACATTTCTTCTCTCATCTCCTGTCATTGTCATTGAAGAACACTAAGTTTTTTAGGGTCTAAATCTTAAAACTGTTTTCTCTGTTGGTCTCAGTAAGTTATAGTAAGAACAAGGTAACTTGCTTAAACTGCGTAGTTTGGCATAGAAAAGTCCTGATTTCTTCTCAGCAAGAAACTTGTATCTGGTTGTGTATAAAATCCTTTTTCCCTTGAGGTACTTTGAACTTTATTTCCATAACCTAATCTGGAGGCTGCAAAGGCTTAGAATCTTTGATTGCTATAAGAGGAAGAAGAAAAAGGGCCCCATGCACCGTAAGCACACAGGCAGAGTCACCATTATCTAGGACCACACTCAGGAGACCTGAGCGCCCCTGTACTCTCAGGACTCCCAGAAGAGTTTCTTCTTGAAGAAATTGAGCCTCACGGGGCGCCTGGGTGGCTCAGTCGTTAAGCATCTGCCTTCGGCTCAGGTCATGACCCCAGGGTCCTGGGATCGAGCCCCGCATCGGGCTCCCTGCTCAGCGGGGAGTCTGCTCCCCCCTCTCCTTGTGCCCCTCCCCCAGCTTGTGCTCTCTCTCGCTCACTCTCTCTCAAATAAATAAGTAAAATCTTTAATAAAAATAAATTAATAAATTGAGCCTCACTGTGGATTAGTATGTCCAGGGCATCCTGCAGCTTTGTGTGTTGCAGACACACTTGTTCGTCATCTGTATTTTACTCAGAACAGCAGAGTCTGAAATGGCTGGCACCCCCCTCCTCTGTTTCTCCATACTCCCTGTGGCTCACTAGCTGGCTGCTGTGTTTCCTGCTATCTTTGGTATTTAACCTGTAAGCCAAATACCACTTTTCAGTCTCCTTAATTCCTCCAGTAATGTTATGTTCATTTAGATGAATCACCTGAATTTAGCCAAGTCACATTCAACTGTCTTTCTCCAGGTAATCTATTTGTTGTCAGGACACTGACTACCAGTTAGGGAGGACTTCTGCTATCCGTTATCATTAACAGGACGTCAGAGGGGGGCCAGAAGTTACAGTCCAGCCTCTTACTCCACCCCTTTGCTGAAACCCCCTGTTCTAAACTGGGCAGAAGAGTAGAATGGTCTAAAGGACTTTGCCAGGTTTGGGGCACCCACTTGGGACCAGTAAGAGAAGCAGGGAGCTTAATCCAAGAAGAATCTGGTGACCCCCAGAATAATTCCTTCCTTCCTTTCAGGGTTATCCTATGGCCTGTCCCAGGCCTCCCTGCCCCCTGGTTCCTTCCTTATGGACTAAACTGAAATAGAATCTGCCTCTGAAACTCGGGTGGTAGGGGACAGAGCCAGGTATGATCCAGCAGGCTGTTAGTTCCCTGGCCTTGCTTAATATTGACTGGTGTTAAGCCTGGGGAGAGCCCTGAGCGCAGCGGGGATGCACACCAGTCAGGTCTGTTGAGCTCTAGTTGCAGGACAGGCAGCTGTTTGTCTTTATACTTTGGTCTGTAATGGGCTCTTTAAATAAAACCTTACATATCAGGAATATCCTTGAATTTATTTTTTGCCTTTGTGCTCTTTCTCTGGTCATCTTAATGCTATTATTGTTGCAGGTAACATCAGCTACCATTTATTGATTGCTTACCATGTGCTAAGATGAATAGATGTCTATAGATTTATAGAGATATATTTGTTTTACGTTTATAAAGATGCACATGTGTACACACGCATTCTCACACATTCATTAAATCTCCACAGTCTGCCAATGTAGTAGGTATTATCCCAATGTTGTAGGACAACCTGGGAGATGAGGTTCAGAGAATTTAAGGCGCATGTTCAAGATTCTACAGCCAAAAGTTGCTGAGCCAGGTCTGGGCCTCAGAGGCCCTGAGTCCGCAGCATGTGCTGCCCTACAGGGCTGTCAGGGACAGTGTGGGCCCTTGTCCCTCATTTTCTCATGTAGTTTATTTCATGTCTTTGAATTAAAATTGGATACTGAGTTTTCTTGGTTTAATTTTTTTTAAAAATCTTGGGGTTCATCTTATTTTACATTTCCAGGCAATTTCCACTCCTAAAGATTTGCAGAAATACAGTCTTCTCTTTGTTGAAGTTTGCAACTGAGGTCTGTAGCCTCCCCTGGTTGCTGTACTTTAGAAGGACACTGATATAACTGTTACCTCAGCATAGGCTGCTTATCCCGCCCTGACACTAACTGTGAGGATCAGAGCCCTGGTACCTGAAAGAGGCTCAGGTGTTCTTATGTAGGTGCTGCATCGGAGACCTGCTAAGGTTTGGTGGGAAGAGAGCTGGCACCGCCAGGAGGCCTGCACTCTGCCCTGGATACGTGTGGCTTAGAGAGCTGTGTGCTCGGAGGCCGTCTGTCGTCAGAAGGAGGCCTGCGTAGGGTGCTCAGAGTCGCTCATGCCCTGTAGACACGATGGACATGCCTCTGTGTGCCTCGGGTTGGTCCACGGGGCCCCGGGCGCAGACTCAGGCCTGCCGCTGCGCCTCTCTATACCTCAGGGATTCGTGGCAGGAAAAGTGAAGAAAAGCAGTTCTGTGGTATTTGACCAATAACCCTGACTTCTCTCAGGTAGAAAATTTGAAATGAAAATACATTTTAAAGATCTTTTAATCAGTTTTCAACTAAAATAATCTTTTGTATAATCCTGCCTTAGGTTTACGTAGTGCTTAATTATTTACAAAATATTGTTACGTGCATGATCTTGTCTACTGCGTGTAACCCTGCATTACCACTTCTGATCTGATTATGAAGTAGTTGGCTGTTATTCACAGTAGTTAGATATTTTTTAATTGCTTGTATCTGAAGCAATGCCAAATTATCCATGTTAGAAGAACAAGTCCAAGACATTCATTACTTCGTTCACTCAGACTGAATTCTGTGTTCAGTCACAGAACTGGGAATTTCAGAAATAGTTTGGTGAGCCCAGCCTGCACTTGCCCAGGAATGCTGACCCACATGATCATACAAGCCCGACTCATAGTTTGGAATTTCTTTTGTCAGATTCTGTTCAGAACAACCTGAGCATCTCCTTAATTTTTAACGAGCAGAGTCCCTTCTAAATACAGCTCTTCCAGTTTATTCCATAAAACATAATTGAAACCCCATTGTTATCTTATCATTTAATTTCCGTTCATTTTGCCATCTAAAACTCTGAAAAGTCTGCTTCATTTTAAACCCCAATCACTTAGTTTTTTCTTAAAAAGTGATTTATGTCCTATACTGTAGTAGACATTCTGTGAATGTTTAAATCATGTTTCTGAGATAAGTAAGGGTTCTCTTAATGTTTGAACATTTTAAAATGAAATTTTTAATGTTATATAAGAAGGTGAGGTTTTTGTTCATAAGACATTCTGAAGAGGATCAAGAGGTGTTACCCTCTTACTCTAGTATACTGCGGATGACTTCCATCACTTCTTTAACACAGGATGTTGGATTTTATCATCTTAAAGTATATCCATCTAAGAAACCTTTAAATAAATTTAATTACAGCTAATGTCAATATTTACTGCTGAATTTATCTTACAAGTAAGATTTTTTTTTATATTTCTAGAAAATTAAAAGATCACATACTCAATTACCTGTAATTTTATTTTTTCAACAAATGTTGTGTTTCATTGTTCATTGGACAGAAAGAGGAGCCCTGTTTTGTTTGTTGTTTTTCTTTCTTTCTATAATTGACTAGATTTTCTATTTAATTTGTGCAAGTCATTTTTGTTAATTTTTTTTTTTTGGCTTAATTTCTTTTAGAAACATGTCATTCAGGTTTATCAAAAGGTAGGACTTATATATACACATTATTTTTTTTCGATCCTTACCCCAAAATGGCTCCTGCAATTAACATCAGGTTTGGCTTTCTAGCCTTGTTTTTGTTTTGTTTTGTTTTGTTTTCTTAAAAACTAAACTTTCTGCTGAGAACTAAATACTTATTTCTTTGTAAGGAAACCTTGAAAAGAAATAGATTAACTCTGTCAGGCATTTGTAAAGGGATTGTGACACCCATGTAACAATAGGCCTGTGCATGCTCTGTGCATTTTCTTTCTTTGGTAGAATTATTTAGCATCCAAATAATTCTGTCTTCATACTAATAACACTTAGCATGCTTCTGTTTGAAGAATGAGATGTTCAGTAATATTAATGTACAGTTACTGATTGGCCTCAAGCCCGCAGAAGGTAAGTGGTGACTGTTGCCATCTTTTAGCAAAAGGCTTTAAAATGGCCGGGAAGTTAGCTAATATTTTTACATGGGAAACAAGCACAAAATTCAAACCTACAGCCTCATTTGGTTTGAGGTTTTCAGAAATAAAGTTGTGGGCAACTGATAGTGGAAATGTTTTAATATTTTCAGCGAGTTGAAGAGTAAGTAGTATTCTGTCTAAAAGCTGCTTTCCACCAACCACTGAAGGAAGTAGGTCTCATTACTTTTACTGAAAGCACTGTGGTAAATATTATATATTCCTACCAGATGAGTACTTTTTGATGATGATGAGTCAGGAGAACAAAAACGTTGCTCACGATCTTGGAATGCACACAGAGTGAGGCAGAAAATCTGCCATTTGGGCCACCTGTGTCCAGAAGGCCAGCCTGTGGGGGTCTATGTGTTGATGAGGTCAGTGGGTCACTGAAAGACTGTGTGAACGTAAGCTCTGTTAAAACTGTGGGAGGAGCGCTTTCCTCATGTAGGAAATTCCCCTCCATTATTGTTTTTTAATCTTCCCAGTTGTCAAATTTTCCCTTGCACAGGAAATTTTGCAGTTGGAAGTAGGATTTAACTGCTAGAATTCATTTCCTTTTAGTTAAAGCCCATTACCCTTTGGGGGAGGGATTAAAAAATCAGAATATCTCCAATTCCAGAGCCGGGCAGGAATACCTGTTGTGTATGTGAAGCAGGTGCAGGGCCAGCCTCCCAGCCCGCCTGCGAGCACACATGGAGAAGGATGGCCGTGGGCTGATTCACCCCCATGACAGGATGAGTTTAACAAGCACAGCTGGTGACCCGAAGTGCTTTGGGTTTGCTCATTTTATGACATCTGTGTTTGTTTATGGGTGGTTGTGTACTGGTCTGTAAGATTTCTTTTCTCTTTCCCGCTTCTCTGCTTCTGCATTCTGTTCGTTGAGGCTTCCAACTGAATATGAGAGGAACGGGAGATATGAGGGCTCAAGGTGAGGGAAATTATTTTTACTTAAAATATTTTATAGGTATTTACCTTGTGTGTGTGGCAGAAACGGTGCTCTTTTCTGAATATCCTGCATCATATCCCTGCTCTCAATGTAGGATTGCTTGGTGAGGTCAGCATTTTGCGGTTGGTGAAGCAGGAGTGTGTGGCTGCTGCCCCCTCCCAGTGGCCACTTGAGGGCGCCAGAGCGCCATGGCCACCAGCCCGTGGAAGCCTTCTGTCTCCCAGCCTGATTGGGCTTTCCACTGGTGTTTGGGTGTTAAAATACGTGGCCCTCCTGCCTGGGCGCTGACAGCCTGAAATGAGATCTGGGAGTCGGTAGGAGCACTGTTGACGTGTCCATAACTCCTGCATGATTCTGGTCTCAAAGAATGAAAGCAGAATATTGAGTAGAATTTTCATATTTTAAATTAGATGTGTCTTTAAGAATGATTATGTAGTCGAGCGATTTGCTTTTACAATTTGTAGATCATTTTGTATTTCATTACACAGATTTGGGTGTTGGGGGAGTTGACCAGATAGGCCTCCATAGTTGTAGTTCTTGTCCACTTACGCCCTTCCAGTACCAGTTGCCAGCTTGCTGTCTCAGGTCCCCGTTAACCCATTTGCTCTCCTGCTGGTCTTTCTCAAGCACAGCTCTGATCATGTGACTTTTCTGAATGAAACCTTGCAGTGGCCCCATTGCCTGGCCTGCCCTGGGTGGCCTCAACAGCCCCGGCCTCCCCTGACCCCACCCCTGCCCCAGTTGAGGTGTCACTCCCACCCCAGGCCTGCCCATGCCGGCCTTGAGCAGGCTCCAGCTGTCCCGAGTTTGCCTACCGCAAGTACTCAGCAGCTGTTGTGGGGGTGATGCTGTGCCCCCAGTTCCAGTCCATCTGTACACTTGATTATACCCTCAACACATTCTGTGCTTTCCATACGTCCCTGCCTTTGCTTATGATATTCTCTCTGCTCAGCACACGAACTCTCTTCCCCCACCCCCGTTGTATTGGAATCCCATGGTTCTTGGTAGCTCTTCTCAGATGCCACCCCCTCCTGGAAGCCATTTCCTCATTTCCCTGCACTCCTTCCGTTAGAGGGCCCCACCTGTCGTTCCTCCCACCCTCTAGTGGACCCTTTATACCTTTCCTGTTCTGCTGTTGGCCTTGAGTTGCAGTCTTCCCTCCCCCAACCCCAACTTAGCTTGAGAGCTTTTGCTCATTTTTGTAACCTATTTAGTGACTAATACAGCATTTTATACATAGGAAGCTTCCGACCAATTTGAGGAGATGTGAACAAAATTGAATATTCTACCAGCTGGTTGGCAGCTATCTGCATAGTAAACCTATGGCCCACCCTCAGGTCTGATAAATTTGCCATAGGATGAAGTGTTTTTAACATGCATGTCCTGGGTGTTTTTAATACAAAAGAGCGTCAGTCATTCACCGTCCTCATTGAAGCATCTGATGTATACATGAGAGTGTAAATAATTTTGTGGCAATGATGATTAAATGCCATGAACAGCAAGATATGGTAGATTCCTAGTTGTGGACTTCCCAAGAGAACTGTGCCCAGGACCCCACCGTGACGTCACCTCATAGACATTGGGACCACCCCTTCCACTCTGTGGATCGATACAGCTTGCGTTCAAACTGGTTGTTGGAGTGCTCAATAACAAATAAGCCTTAACATTTCATTTTTCTGCTTCAGTAGTAAGATAATGTCACCTAAGAGTTATTTTTAACTGTGGAATTAACAGTTTAACAAAATGGCAGGAAAAATATCGAGGTGGGTGGAGGGAACGGAGAGAAGGGCCCACGCCCCCACCCAGCTGTATGCTCGGGCCACCTACAAGGAAGGTGATTTTGAACTATGTGGAGACACTGGTTATCCTGAGGAACCACTGTGGTGAAGGTTATGAGGAACTGACCTGAGAGGAGAAGTGGTAGCACAGGAGCAGCCGTGCTGGTCAGAGCCAGAAGCTGGCCTGCCGACCCCGCCTCCCTAAGCTGGGCTTTTGGGGGTCTCCCCCGGCTCCTTGGCACCTGCATTCAACCTAGAGGGGAAAGCTGGGCTCTTCTTGGAGAAGTGCTCAGCTCTCTACTTCACCTGATCTTCAAGGATTTTGTTTAACAAATTATTTTCTTAATGTTATTAAGGATAGATGGCTGGTGAAGATTTTTCAGCCAGGTAGACCTTGGCCTGTGTGGGTTATGGTTTGGGGGGGGAGGTGAGTAATAGAGGAATGCTTCTCAGTAAAGGAACAGGTCACCACATGGGAGCCTATGCAAGAGAAGTGTGGAGGTCAGTTATTCTGTTACAGCGAAGATGTTGATTATGAACTAGCTGAACTAGAAAAGGTTGGTTTTTCTGTGCAATTAAAAATAAACCTGCCACTGTGCATTTCAGTCGCAACGTATCTGCCGAGCAAAAGGATGAAAACAAAGAAGCAAAACCTCGCTCCCTCCGCTTTACCTGGAGCATGAAAACCACTAGTTCCATGGATCCCAATGACATGATGCGGGAAATCCGCAAAGTGCTGGATGCCAATAACTGCGACTATGAGCAGAGAGAGCGCTTCTTACTCTTCTGTGTCCACGGTGACGGGCACGCAGAGAACCTCGTGCAGTGGGAGATGGAGGTGTGCAAGCTGCCAAGACTGTCTCTGAACGGGGTCCGGTTTAAGCGGATATCAGGGACATCCATAGCTTTCAAAAATATTGCTTCCAAAATTGCCAATGAGCTGAAGCTGTAACCCAGTAATTACGGTGTAAATTAAGTAGCAATTTAAAGTGTTTTCCTGAACACTGATGGAAATGTATAGAATAATATTTAGGTAATAACGTCTGCATCTTCTAAATCATGATATTAAAATATAAGGACGAGAGCACGCCTGGGAGCGGAAGCTGGCCTTTTTTCTACGAATGCACTACATTAAAGATGTGTGACATGCGTGCCCTCTGTCTTATTTCCATTGCCCTGAAAACGTGTGACATCATCGCCATGGGCCTCCTGTCTGTGTGGTGTGAGCGTGGACTGTGCGTGTGAAGTACTGCATACGGAAGCATCTCCTTACACTGGCAGCCAGAGTTGTTACGAGTACCTCTGTGGGAGATCATTTGGTGCTAAAACATTAAAATTGCCAAGGAGGAAAATGTCGAATTACTACTAAGAATTAACTTTAAGACTAGTTGATAATTAATACAGGTTTACAGTTCATGCCTGTGGTTTTGTGTTTTGTTGTTTTGTGTTTTTTTAGTGCAAAAGGTTTAAATTTATAGTTGTGAACATTGCTTGTGTTTTTCTAAGTAGATTCACAAGATAATTAAAAATTCACTTTTTCTCAGTAAAATCTTGCATTGTCTCCTACTACTGTATTTAAGACTCAGATTAAGGCAGTGACTAAAAGTATGTTTTGCCTCCACCACCAAGCTGAACAAAAGCAAATGGTAAGTGTATGAAGGCCTGGGGCCACTTTGTCCTTAGCGTGGAGCCCAGCATTTTGTGATTACCAGCATCTTTTTTCTCCAAAGGCAAAAAAGGGAGAAGTCGGCCCTCCTGGCGACCTGCGGAGGAAGGGAATCAGGAGCCTCCGCGAGCCCGTGTGCAGAGGTACCAGGTCCTGACGGTTCTGTTGTCCATGAAGTATGTAATTTTCCTCTCTTGTTGTTTTTGTGATTCAGAACATGAATCAATCCTACAGCTTTTTTCCCACCACCTACATGGTTATATAGAGGGAGTAATGAATTCATCACTTAGGGTGACACTTCAGTCTCATGGGGAAATTGCCACATTGATTGGTGTGCTATTTAGGTTTCTGGGTTTTTTGTTGGTGGTCAAAGTATGAAAGTCTGGACAGACAGTCAAATATTCAATACCATGGGCAGAACGCTGTTTTAAGTATTGGGGACACATCAGTGAACAAAACAAAGATCCCTATAGCATCTCTTGAAGCTTATATTCTAATAGGATGGCAGTCAGTAAGCAAAAAGTAAAGTCATAGGAACAAAATGATCAGTGCCAAGAGAAAAAAATGCAGAGCGGTGTCAGGCATTCCTAGGGACCCGAGGTTTGGTCAGTGCCATGTTAAATCGGGGGATGGGGACGGTGGCTTGTCCTCTCAGGGAGCAAGGAGAAGAAGCCAGGAAAGCTGTTCAGAGGCTGTCAGCAGTGATCAGGCAGGAGGTGCTGCTGGCCCAGTGAGACCGTGGCCAGTTCTGGATATGTCCTGAAATAAGAGTCAACTGCATTTGCTCTTGTGTTGCCTGTGGATGAGCGAGCCCAAGGCTGTACAAGTTTTGGCCTGAACAGCAGAAAAGACGGGTTTGCTGTCCATTGGAATGGGGCAGCTTGCTTTGGCGGGGAGGGCGAGCAGCAGAGCGGTTTTGAATGCACTGAGTTGGGGGTTCCTTCAGACACCATGTGGAGACCCAGGAGGAACCCCGGGAGTCCTCAGCCCCTCGGCCAGTGGGTGGATCCTATGCGGATATGGGACAGAAGCTCCCAGAAAAGGGGTGTGGCCTGGGAGGCATAGAGGTGGGAGGGGCCCCGTCTCCCTCCTTTTTTCACCTGAGGCATTTTAGTTCCTTCTGTAGACCCAGTTCCTTTGCACACGCGCTTCTCTCACAGCTCCGTGTGCACAGGTTCCTCCGAGCAGCTGCCCTGTGGAAGTTTGCAGAAGGGAAGCGGGGCTCCTCTGACCTTCACACCTCGGACACGTTCTCTAATAGCTGGCCATAGTTTTGTTCTCAAGGACACACTGAATACTGGAGGTTAAGCTCCTTTGAGAGTTCATTCCCCACGTGCTCTGATGAGATGACCACTCTGTGCACGTGTTGTTGTTGGGTGTTGGTTTGTCACAAGTGTGTGGGCACTTTAATGCACTACTGACCCAGTGAGAGTTGGGTACTGATTCACGGAAGTGGTCTGGGTCGGTCTCATTTCAAAGCCTCTGACACTGATTGACATTGGTGTGATTTCAGTGGCAACATAGATAGTGTTGCTTTACTGCAGCTAAAACATGAAATCACATCGATTACTGAGGGGCCCATGCCCGTCCTTAAAATAGTATGTTTTTATAATACGGTGTTTTTATTCTGCATACAGTGACTTTTGGAAAGGAATGTTCTAGAGTACTTGAAAATCACTTCAGACGCAATGACAAGGCCACATTTTTCCCTCATCCACTCCTCTGGAGTCCCTCAGAGGTGAGCTAAGGTATGTGGTGGGGGTGGTGCTACTGTTCGTATTTACCTGACAACAAAAGTGTTGTCTACTCCTGAAAGTACAGTTAGTATTCCAATTATGTTGACTCCGTCCAGACCAGGCAAATCGGAGGACCCGAGACAGCATTTCTTAACGACGTGCCTGGCTCTTGGGCTATCCTTTCGTGGCTAAGAGTGAAGACCCAGGCAGAAAGCTGGGACGGGACATGACTGCCTTGGAGAAGCACAACTGTGAGCGTTTTCACAGTGTGTGTTTCTCCAAAAGCCTAGAGAAGGATGATAGTTAAAAGAAAGATCTCGCTGTGTGTGCTTTATGAACACATTACTGTCGCTGTAGAAACCGTCCCTGGAATACCCTTTCCGGGCAGCTCCTGCTCTGTGAGTGGCGCATGGTGACCTCAGTGTCCACGGAGCGGGGAACGCAGGGGTGCAGAGAGGTGTGTCTGCCTGCTCAAAACTTGGCTTTCTTTGGGGTGTTTTTGTTATTTGGGGGGTTTGGGGTTTTGGTTTACTTTTGCTGATTTGCCATAAGACCCTTTTAAAGAGCTCAGCAGCCCACTTTACACTGGGGGGAATGGTTGCTCTCAAAGGGAGCGATGGTGAGTGAAGGATGGGCCTTGCAGGTACCCTAACACTGCACAGGTGAGTCTAGATGTGACTGTCCCCAAGAGTAGAACCTGGGCATCCTCCCAGTCAACAAGGAGGACAGAGTTTCACAGCTTTGTAAATGGGTCTTCAGTCTACCACTTTGAGACACCAGAACCCAGGCGGGGGGTGATGCTCCCTCAGAGAGAGTGCTCGCCATTGGTGTGGTGACATCCCAGCGGGGCAGCTGGGCGTGATCAGTGTCAAACCAGCACTGTACTCCTCAGAAGTCAGAGCTCACACAGGGCATCTGGGCCTGGCTCCTCCCCCAGGGAAGGGCGGTCACATGGTAAGGAGAAGCCATCAGAGGGACTAGATGGGGAGGTTTGGGCACGTGAAGAATGGAAAGGGGGTGGGGGCTCTGACACTCAAGGAGGAAGCCAGCTTGCTAGGATAGCAGAGCGGACAAAGCAGGGAAGCCTGAGTAAACTCACAGGAGCAAAGTACTCTGCCGGGAGGTGAGCTGCTGGCTGTGGTGGAGGTGCTGAGGTCTGCCCACTGGTTACTACAGCAGGGTCTGGATGGCCGGGAAGGCCGGCGTCGGATGGCTTTGGCAGGGCAGGGCCTCTTAGGATTCACTTCACTCAGACGTCAGAGCCCTGTTTAAACCTGAATTAGGCAGCGTGGCTTAGCAGTTGAGGTGTATGCCCTTGATCAAGGCAGCCTGGTTTTCAGGCTCTGGGTTCATACCCCAGGTTGCCTCTATAAAGTGTGGCAGTAATGATATCTCACTCTGGGCTATTGGTAGAGTCCACCAGGTGGCAAGTGCAGAGCGGGGTGCCTGGCAGCTGCTAGTAAATACGCAGCTCACTCAGGTACAGGCCCTTTTAAACAAGAATTCAAACTAACCCTGTGTCCTTCCTCCCTGCCCAGCTTAGCCAGGACACTGAAGTCCTTGAACACTGCTCTCTGCCCTCCCAGCAGAGGCTTGTTAAGGAAATTCCCCCAGGGGCGCCTGGTGGCTCAGTCAGTTAAGCGTCTGCCTTCGGCTCAGGTCATGATCTCAGGGTCCTGGGATCGAGCCCCGCGTTGGGCTCCCTGCTCAAGGGGGAGTCTGCTTCTGCCTCTGGCCCTCCCCCCTGCTTGAGATCTCTCTCTCTGTCAAATAAGTAAATAATCTTAAAAAATAATAATAAATAAAAATAAATAAATACTTTAAAAAAAAAAAAGGAGGGGCACCAGGGTGGCTCAGTTGTTAAGCGTCTGCCTTCGGCTCAGGTCACGGTCCCAGGGTCCTGGGATCGAGCCCCGCATCGGGCTCCCCACTCCGCGGGAAGCCTGCTTCTCCCTCTCCCACTCCCCCTGCTTGTGTTCCTTCTCTCGCTGTATCTCTCTCTGTCAAATAAATAAAATCTTTAAAAAAAAAAAAAAAAAAAAAAGGAAAATTCCCCCAATTTCTCAAGTGTAGAGTTCTGGTCTCTGAGCCTGATGTTAGGAAACCAGCCAGTACCGTTGTGTTCCTGGCCCCAAGTTTTGGCGTATGTCCCCAGGGGACAGGGAAGAGTATGAGTCTGGTGGAAGAGCACAGTCAGGGGAGGCAGATGGTGCCCCCCACCCCCGCCCTACCCCACCCCATCCTCCCTTCAGACTGCTGGTCACCTCTCCCCCAACAGGCCTACCGTTGCCATCACTTTTAAAGATTTATTTTAGAAGGAGCGAGGGGAGGGGCAGAGGCGGGGAGAGAGAATCTCCAGCAGACTCAGTGCGAGCTCGGAGCCCGACACTGGGCTTGATCTAAAGACCCTGAGATCGTGACCTAAGCTGAAATCAAGAGTCAGACGCTCAACCGACTGAGCCGCCCAAGTGCCCCTGTCATCACATTTAAAGTCCCACTGGCTCAGGGGCGCCTGGCTGGCTCAGAATCAGTAAAACATGTGACTCTTGATTTCAGGGTCATGAGTTCAAGCACCATGTTGGGCATGGTGCCCACTTTTTAGAAATAATAAAGTAAAATAACACCGCACCACATCGGCTCTCCCGGCCTGCTTGGCCAGCTGTGCCCTCCTACTTTGTGTCGTGCTAAGAGTCAGCAGCATGGACAAATGTTTTTTGTCTCTGTATCTACCCTCCCTGCCCTTATTAG